CTTTCATGGTTTTGTCCCCGATTCTTTTGGGGCTGAAAAATTACCCTGTGTGCCTGCGTTCAACCTTCTGGGTCTCTGTTACAGACGGAGAGCTGCTGGGCCGGGGGCCCACACAGAGCTCACAGGTTCCTGTTTGGAACTTTTTTGTGGTTTTCAGTTGGTTTTGGCAGAATGCTTCCAGGGTGGGAGGATGTGCGATGGGTTTCCTTCAAGAGTTCTTTTAGGCTCAAAGGAAACTGACCAGTCTGTTCCCAGGGATGTTAGAGGGACAAGGGTCAGAATGCAGGGAAAATGTGGGAAGCAAAGCCTATTGAGAATGTGGTTGACACTATGGGTTATAAAGCAGAAGCCATACTCTGGTGTCACCAAAAGAAACTTTCTCACAAAATCCTTTTCTAAAAGTGTATTCGTTGGGGCCAGTGCTGTGGCCCAGCATGACACCAGCTTCCCATGTCAGAGTGCTGCTCCACTTCTGACCCAGCTCCTTGCTACCACACCTGGAAAAGCTGGCTCAAGTTACTGGGCCCTGGCCACCACTGTGGGAGACCAGGATGGACTTCAGCCTAGCCCAGATCTGGCTGTTGCAACCATTTGGAGAGTGAGCCAGCAGATGGAAGATCTCTCTTTCTCTCTCTCTCACTGTCTCTCCCTCTCTCTCTTTCACTGTCTCCCAAATAACTAAATATTAAAAAATAACCTTTTATTCCTTCACGCTGCCCTATTACTTTGTAATACATTTTATGAATATACATATATATATGTACTTTGAATACATTTTATGAATATACATATATATATATACACTTTGTACCAATGCCAAAATGTTATCTGATAAAATTGATATTTTGCTGGAAATTAAATCATAGTATGGACTTCCAGTATGAAATGATAATTGTGTATGTTTATTGAAATGATAATGAAAATTTAGAAAGCTGACAAATAGCAAAGAACCACAACATTCCAAACATAGCTTCTCACAGTTCCTGCAGTCAGTGCACAGTACATCTCTCGACTCAACAGATATTTAGCTGAAATGAGTGAAACACACAGAACTTTTCCCTGCTATTTTCTTCTCTCCTTCATAGTCTGATGTCTGAAAATGTGTAGAATTGGGGTTTTTTTCATCTTCAGGAAATTTAAGGTAAGAAACTGATATTCTGCTCTTAATTCTTTCCAAACAACTTTTTTTCTTGAATGAACTCATGACACATATATAGTTTAAAAGTTAAAAATAAAATATGTTTTATAATATGAGATTATCTACTATGAATGTTAGTATCTAGTAATTCTATAAAAAAATTTTTTAAATGCCATTTTGATTTTATTACAATTCATCTTTCTAGTCATGTAATAATTATTTGTAATTTTTTAAATCTAGCTACAGTGCATTTTCTTCTATTAATAATCAAATTTATTTTGGCGACTAATTTGGATTATTTAATAATTTCTTTCTAGGGGCTGGCACTGTGGTATAAGTGGGTAAAGCCACTGCCTGCAGCGCCAGCATCCCATTTGGGCACTGGTTCAAGTCCCAGCTGCTCCACTTCTGAGCCAGTTCCCTGCTGATGACCTGTGAAAGCATCAGAAGATGGCCCAAGTCTTGGCCCCTGCACCCATGTGGGAGACCCAGATGAAGCTCTGGATGCTGGGTGTCAACAGTGGCATAAGCACATTGATGAACTGGCTTTCCCAACAGACGTTGAACATAAGCATACTCTCTGACCTTGTAATTTCCCCTTTGTATATCTCTACCAATAAGGGCAGTAAACCCTTGGTATCCATGAGGGACCAGTTTCAAGAGTCCCTGAAGGTACCAAGCTTCATTAAGTCCTTTATATTAAATGACACAGTGTTTGCCTATAATCTACAGCATCCTCCTATATACTTGAAACCATCTCTAGATTGCTTATAATCCCTAACACAATGTGAATGCTTAATAGCTGTGATACTGTGTTTGTTTAGAGAATGATGACAAGAAAAATAAGTTTGTACACATTCAATACAGATGTTTCCAACATGGGCCTAACCACACAGTACATGAGCTGCAGCAGGTTGAATCCACAGATGCAGAATCAGTGGATATGGTGACTGACTCTAGCATGTTCCCCCAAAAATGCATACAATAACTTTCATCACAATGCTTTGCATAACGAGCCCAGGAATGACACATATGCCCACCAAAAGTGCAATAAAAAATGAAATGATGAAAGATTATTCAGAAATTAAGATGAACAAACTATAAACATAAATCTACATACACATGGTCAGCTGATCTTCAATAAGGTGCCAGGAACACCCAAGGAGAAAAGGGACAATCTCAACAACGTTGGTGGGGAAACTGGGTATCTACACGTGAAAGACGAAGCAGTGCCGCATCCAACAACACTTACAAAAGCGAATTCAAAATTGATTACAGTTAAGACCTGAAACCATGCAACTGGTAGAGGAAAATACAGAGGAAACGCCCCCTTTACACAGGCAATGATTCCTCGACTATGGCACCAAAACATAGGCAACCGAAGCACAGACAGTGGGACTGCATCGAACTCGATTGTTTCTACACAGCAAGAAAAAAAAAAAAAACAGCACCAAAAGGTAGCCAACATAATGGAAGAAAATACTTACACGGTATGTTTCCAATGAGGTGATAGCCTGAAAAATGTATAGGGAATTTAGACAACTCAATAACAAAAACATACCCAATCAAAAGTGAGAAAAGGATCCAACTAGACTTGTTTCGAGGTGGTTACTTGTTGTCTAATGGGCACAAAGCTTCCCTTTGGGAAGATGAGAAAGTTCTGGAGATGGATGGTGATGACAGTTTCACAGCACATGTATGTGCTCCATGCCACTGAATTGTGGACTAAAAGCCACAATGTGAACTAAAATGTTACATTTTGTGTTTACGTATATTTTGACACAATTAAAAGACTTTTTTAAAAGTCTGCATTCTGGCCGGTGCCTCGGCTCACTAGGCTAATCCTCCGTATGTGGTGCCAGCACCCTGGGGTTCTAGTCCCGGTTGGGTCACAGGATTCTGTCCCAGTTGCCCCTCTTCCAGTCCAGCTCTCTGCTGTGGCCCGGGAGTGCAGTGGAGGATGGCCCAAGTACTTGGGCCCTGCACCCCATGGGAGACCAGGAGAAGCACCTGGCTCCTGGCTTTAGATCAGCGCAGCATGCCAACCATAGCAGCCATTTGGGGGGGTGAACCAACAGAAGGAAGACCTTTCTCTCTGTCTCTGTCTCTCTCCCTCTCTCTGTCTAACTCTGCCTGTCAAAAAAGAAAAAAAAAAAAAAGTCTGCATTCCAGGAACCAGTGCTGTGGTACAGCAGGTTAAACTGCCACCTGCAGCGCAAACATCCTATATGGGCACCAGTTTGGGTCTCCACTACTCTGCTTTTGATCCTGTGAAAGCAGCAGAAGATGGCCCAAGTACTTGGGCCACAGGACTCACATGGGAGACCCAGATGAAGCTCCTGGCTCCTGGCTTCAGCCTGGCCCAGTCCTGATCATTGCAACCTTTTAGGGAGTGAACCTCGGATAGAAGAGTTTCTTTTCTCTTTCTTTCTTCCTTCCTTCCTTCCTTCCTTCCTTCCTTCCTTCCTTCCTTCCTTCCTTCCTTCCTTTCTTTCTTTCTTTCTTTCTTTCTTTCTCCCTCTCTCTCTCCCCCCTCCCAACTCTGCCTTTCTTTCTTTTTTTTTTTTTGACAGGCAGAGTGGACAGTGAGAGAGAGAGAGAAAGGTCTTCCTTTTGCCATTGGTTCACCCTCAATGGCCGCCACAGCTGGCGCACTGCGGCCGGCGCACCACGCTGATCCGAAGGCAGGAGCCAGGTGCTTCTCCAGGTCTCCCATGGGGTGCAGGGCCCAAGCACTTGGGCCATACTCCACTGCACTCCCTGGCCACAGCAGAGAGCTGGCCTGGAAGAGGGGCAACCGGGAAAGAATCCGGCGCCCCAACCGGGACTAGAAGCCGGTGTGCTGGCGCCGCTAGGTGGAGGATTAGCCTATTGAGCCGTGGCGCCGGCCTCTGCCTTTCAAATAAAAAAAATTTTTTTTAAAAGTATGCATTGCTTGCAAGGTCTCAGGCAATACCTTTGCTTCTGATCTTGGTACCACACTAAGTAGTGAATTGTAGTAGAGAGGAAAAGAAAGAAAGCATATGAGTTCCTTAGGAAAAGCAAGTCTCAGTTCCAATAAACTGGTAGCCAGTGCATCATATAAACTTAATGCTTTTTGCAATTGCTTCATGAAGAAATATTATCTAATAGGATAAGTAGGATTTGTAAAATAAGGCTGAGTGTGTCACTGAACATAATATAGGTATTAGCAAAGAAAATGAGGAAATCAGAAGACGTGATCATTTTAGAGCCAATAAAGTAATAGAATCTAGGTTGTACATCAAGCAGAACTTCGGCTTTGTCCTGCAAGTGCACCATTGGCTTAGTAAAGACATTTAGTTTGCCTGTTATAATTACTTACTTGGCTAACTGGCCAAAAAGATACTTTGGGAGTGGGCGTTTGGCCCATCAGTTAAGATGCCACTTGGGAGGCCCACATCCGATATCAGAGTGTGTGGGTTCAAATTCTGTTTTGGCTTCTGATTCTCGCTTCCTGCTAATGTGCACCCTGGGAGGTGATGTCACAAGTACTTAGGCTCCTCCCATCCAAAGGAGAGATCTGATTGGAGTGCCAGGCTCCTGGCTTCAGCCTGGCCTTGTCGAGGCTATTGTGGACATTTGGGGAACGAACCAGAGGATGGAAAATCAATCTCTCTCTCTCTCTCTCTCTCTCCCCCCCCCACCCCCCATCTCTTTCCTCTCTCATTCTCTGTGTTTCTGCCTTTCAAATAAAATTAAAATAAATAAACACAAAGATGTTAAAATATATTGTGTGACTAAATAATAAAAAAAGTAGGCATGGAGAACTGAAAAAGAAAAGTGTTTTCAAAAAGAGAGTTTCTCTGGCTCACTGGGTTTCCTGAGTTCCTGTTGTCCTCAAGTGCAGTATGACGTGAAGAGCACGGTGTACCTTCCTGAGAAATCATCAGTGTTGTCCTCAGAGAGCACAGAGCGATCAGAAAACAAGTTTGGCAAAGCACAGTGCCAAACGTACACTCAGCTACTGTTGAGGAGAGAAACCACCCTTGAGTTTGGTGTGAAGGGACAGCAGAGCACACACATGCCAAGGTGAGCCTTAACTGCTATGATTTCTTTTTCTGGACTTATGAGTTTTATTAAATATATAATTGTTAGTGTCTATAAATGTAAATGTAGCTATAAATGTTGTCAATCATTTTACTTTTTCTATTTTATTATCTTTCTCACACATATGACAAATTATTGGGGATGTTCTGACCAGTGACTTCTATAAAAGGGAAAATATATGAAAAGGTGGCTTTATTCGTGCCATACATTCCTTCCTGTCATGAAAAGCATTTCTGACCCACAGGGACTCATTCATTCATGGAGATCCTTACTAACTGAAAGCTGATTAACTGTTTCAGAAGCTTAGGTACTATCTAATTCATTAGCAATTTCACTCCAGAGTTTAAATCTGTATCTTATAATTGCCTCAGTATAGTGCAATATGTTATATGGCCTGAAAAAGAAACTGAGTGACAAACATCTCTACCTGCAAGTAACAAAGTGATAATTTATCAACATCATTGGGATGTCAGGATAGCTAAGACCCTGAGTAGTGTCTGATGGAAGGAAGAATACATGATGGTTAACACAGCTGTAATGATAAGTGGGTATTCAAAGTAGCCCAAATTTTTGTGACGGTTGATCCACATATGGGGGAAGTTCTAATTTATTTAATTGTCATTCATTAAAAACCCCTACTCCCTCAAGCTGTTTCTAACAGACACTACTGCATTACTTTGTTATGGAAAATCGCTGAGTATGAAGGAGCTTAAGAGCTTTCATCAGGGCAGGCATTTTGGCACAGAAGGTTAAGCTGCCATTTGGGATGCCCACATGCTATATCAGAGTGCCAGGTTCAAATCCCAGCTACTCCCCTTCCAACCAAGCTTCCTGCCCATGTAATCCGTGGAGGCAACCAGTAAAGGCTCAAGTACTTGAACCCCTGCCATGCATGTGAAGAGCTGGATTAAGTTTCAGGCTGCTGGCTTAGACCTGGTGCAGACATAACTGTCATAAGCATTTGGGGAGTGGAGCAGTAGATGGAAGAGTCTCTCTCTCTCTCTCTGTCCTCTCTCTCTCTCCATTCTGCCTTTCAAGTAAATAAACAAACTTTAAAAAATATATTTAAAAAGTTTGAACCAATTACAATCAAAACACTGGCAGAGTGGGAATGGGAATACAATTCAGTATGCCAACAAGTCATGCATTTCCCATGGAATCTGGTTTCTTTTTATTCTACTTCTAAAATGTTCATTAGCTCCAAATCTAAGTCCAGAATGAAGGAAAGAAGTTATCCATTCAATGACAAGATCTGAGCAGGAAACTAAGTAGCTGGAAATTTCAGCTGGGTTGGGAGGTGGACAGGGTGTAATTCCCAGCAGCTAGCTTTTGCAGAAGCTGTTAAGGGTGTAAGGAATGCTGTGTGCATGACAAAATTCATACAAAGATGATATATTTGTTAATATGCTATTTCAGAAGAATTAAACTGTAAACTGAATGGCAAGTTTTGAAAGCACTGAAGAGATGCAAGAAATGGATCAGAGAAATGGGTAAGATTTGTCTAAATTCTACTAAGAGTATTTTTTTAGAAAGCTTTTACTTAATGAATACAAATTTCGTAGGTACAACTTTAGGAATATAGTGGTTCTTCCCCCATACTTGCCCTCCCACCCCCACTCTCGTCCCACTTCCTAATCCCTTTCCCATCCCATTCTTCATTAAGATTCATTTTTAATTAACTTTATATACAGAAGAGCAACTCTATACTAAGTAAAGATGTCCACAATTTGTACCCACACAGACATACAGAGTATAAAGTACTGTTTAAAAACAAGTTTTGCAATTAATACTCATAGTACAACTCATTAAGGACAGAGGTCCTACATGGGGAGTAAGTGCACAGTGACTTCTGTTGTTGATTTAACAATTAACACTCTTATTTATGATGTCAGCGATCACTCAAGGTTCTTGTCATGAGCTGTCTAGGCTATGGAAGCCTTTTGAGTCCACAGACTCCATCAGTATTTAGACAGGGCCATAAGAAAAGCAAAGTCCTCTCCTCCCCTCAGAGGAAAGTACATCCTTCTTTGATGGCCACTTCTTTCCACTGGGGTCTCACAGAGATCCTTCATGTGGATGGATCATTTTTTGCCACAGTGCCTTGGCTTTCCACGCCTGAAATGTTCTCATGGGCTTTTCAGCCAGATCCGAAAGCCTTAAGGACTGATTCTGAGGTCAGAGTACTGTTTAGGGCATTTGTCATTCTTTGAGTCTGCTGTGTGGACTGCTTCTCATGTTGGAATATTCTCTCCTTTTTAATTCTATCTACTGTTATTATCAGACACTTGGTCTTATTTATATGATCCCTTTGACATTTAATCCTATCTATATGATCAATTGCACACTTAATACTATCACTTTAACATGTGAGATGGCATCAGTATCACCCAGCTTAATGGGATCTGGAGCCCCATGGCAAGTTTTTAGCTTTACCCTTAGGGGTAAGTCTGTGGGAATGTACACCGAACTGTACATCTCCTCCCTCTCATTCCCACTCTATTTTTTACTGGGATCTATTTTCAATTGGACTTAAACACCTGAAAATAATTCTGTGTTAAGTAAAGAGTTCAACCAATGGTATTAAGTAGAAAAAGAAAATAGTAAAAAAAAATAATAAGATAAGATAATAAACTGTTCCTCGACAGGCAAAACAAGGGCTGCTCAAGTCATTGCTTCTTATGGTGTCAATTTCACCTCTACAGGTTTCCTTTTAGGTGCTCTGTTATTTGTCAGAGATCAGGGAGAACATATGGTATTTGTCCCTTTGGGGTTGGTTTATTTCACTCAGGATGATGTTTTCCAGATTCATTCATTTTATTGAAAATGATAGGATTTTTTACTGCTGTATAGTATTCCATAGAAACATATCCCATAATTTCTTTATCCAGTCTTCTGTTGACAAGCATTTAGATTGATTCCATGTCTTAGCTATTGTGAATTGAGCTGCAATAAACACGGAGGTGCAGATAACTCTTTTATTTGTGGATTTCATTTCCCTTGGGTAAATTCCGAGGAGTAGGATGGCTGGGTCATATGGTAGGACTATATTCATATTTCTGAGTTATCTCCAAATTGTCTTCCATAGTGGTTTTACCAGTTTGCATTCCCACCAACAGTGGATTAGGGAACCTTTTTCCTCACATCCTCGCTAGCATTTGTTGTTTGTTGATTACTGTATGAAAGCCATTCTAACCGGGGTGAGGTGAAGCCTCATTGTGGTAAGAGTATTCTTCTACACCTTCAAATACAGCTTATCATTTTCACAGCTACAGTAAAAATGTCTAGAACTTTTTCCAAAACTAGTAATTCTGTTTGCATTTCCCTAAACTTTAGCATAATCTATGCTTTGAATGGTTAAGGGTGACTTTAGAATGTATTCTAGCAAAAGGACTTACTAATTTAGTGCTTCACAGCTCTCTCCTGAATTTCTTGTCACTTACTAGGCTATAGAGGAAAGATGCCTCCATTTTTTATTTCAGTTCTCTATGGAGCCTTCATTCCATCTGGGTACATTTAATAAAAGAAAATATTGCATTCTGATTCTTTGGTCACTGAGTAGATATCTGAATGTATTGGCTATAAAACAAGGGAGAACCCCTCTAGCTCAAGTGATTCATTAACACAGAAAATAGCCACAGAGGGTGAGCCTTCCATGCCACTTCCTTGGAGGTCTGGAACCATTAAGGCTAAAGCAAATTCCCCTTGGGAACATTTTTTTAAGTTTTATAGTGTATTTATTACTTTTAATTTTTAAATTTTATTTTAATGGACAAATTATAACTGTATTTTATTATGGGTTACACAGTAATGCTATGATACACAAAGGTACTTCAATAAAGTTGTGAAAAATTAAACAATAAGTATAGGGCCAGGTATGACTCAGCAGTGAAGATGCTGCTTGGAATCCCACACCCCATATCGGAGTGACTGAGTTCAAGTCTTGAGTCCACTTCCAATTCCAACTTCCTCCTGAACGTGCACCCAGGGAGGCAGTAGGTGACGGCCCTGGTACTTGGGTCCCTGAGACCCACATGGGAGACCTGAATTGAGTTCCAGGCTCCTGGCTTCAGCCTTTTCCAGTTGAGGTTATTCTAGGCATTTGGCGAGTGAATCAGTTAATGGAAGTTCTCTCTGTGTCTGTCTCTCTGTGTCTTTCAAATAAAAATTTTAAATATGCATATTTTAAAGAAGATAAATTTATTACAGTGCAAAAACAAACTGGAAATCCATGCACTTATTCATGCTATGCATTTTCCTTGAATTTTTTTAAAGATACCCTCATTTTGTATAGTGTAGGATGATGGAACCAAGCTAACTAACACGCCCATCACCTTAAATACTTATCATTAATATTCATTCCAACTGCAACATTGCACCTTTGGCCAGTGTCTTCCTATTCCCCTCACTCCCCAGGCTCATGGAAGCATCATTCTACTCTCTGATTCTCTTAAGTTGACTGTTTTAGGTTACACATAGAAGTGAGGACATGAGGCTTTTGTGCCTCACTTAGATCACTCAGCATAACAGTCTTCAGGCTCACCTATGTTGTCACAAATGACAGAACCTCCATCTTTGTGTGTGTGTGTGTGTGTTGAACTTTTTTTTTTATTTAGTAAATATAAATTTCCAAAGTACAGCTTATGGATTACAATGGCTCCCCCCCCATAATTTCCCTCCCACTCGCACCCCTCCCATCTCCTGCTCCCTCTCCCATTCCATTCACATCAAGATTCATTTTCAATTATCTTTATATACAGAAGATCTATTTAGTATATATTAAGTAAAGATTTTATCAGTTTGCACCCACACAGAAACAATAAGTGTAAAATACTGTTTCAGTACTAGTTATAGCATTACTTCAGATTGGACAACACATTAAGGACAGATCCCACATGAGAAGTAAGTACACAGTGACTCCTGTTGTTGACTTAACAATTTGACACTCTTGTTTATGGCGTCAGTAATCTCCCTAGGCTCTAGTCATGAGTTGCCAAGGCTATGGAAGCCTTTTGAGTTCACCGACTTTGATCTTATTCCAACAGGGTCATAGTCAAAGTGGAAGTTCTCTCCTCCCTTCAGAGAAAGGTACCTCCTTCTTTGATGGCCCCGTTCTTTCCACTGGGATCTCACTCGCAGAGATCTTTCATTTAGGTTTTTTATGTTTTTGTGTTTGTTTGTTTGTTTTGCCAGAGTGTCTTGGCTTTCCATGCCTAAAATACTCTCATGGGCTCTTCAGCCATATCCGAATGCCTTAAGGACCGATTCTGAGGCCAGAGTGCTGTTTAGGACATCTGCCATTCTATGAGTCTGCTGTGTATCCTGCTTCCCATGATGAATCGTTCTCTCCCTTTTTGATTCTATCAGTTAGTATTAGCAGACACTAGTCTTGTTTGTGTGATCCCTTTGACTCTTAGACCTATCAGTGTGATCAATTGTGAACTGAAATTGATCACTTGGACTAGTGAGATGGCATTGGTACATGCCACTTTGATGGGATTGTATTGGAATCCCCTGGCATGTTTCTAACTCCACCATTTGGGGCAAGTCCGATTGAGCATGTCCCAAATTGTACATCTCCTCCCTCTCTTATTTCCACCCTTATATTTAACAGGGATCACTTTTCAGTTAAAATTTAAACACCTAAGAATAATTGTATATTAATTATAGAGTTCAACAAATAGTACTAGAACAAAACAAAATAATACTAAAATGGATAAAGTATTACATTGTATATCAACAGTCAGGACAAGAGCTGATCAAGTCACTGTTTCTCATAGTGTCCATTTCACTTCAACAGGTTTCCTTTTTTGTGGTTGGTTAGTTGTCACCAATAAGGGAGAACATATAATATTTGTCCCTTTGGGACTGGCTTAATTCACTCAGCATGATGTTTTCCAGATTCCTCCATCTTGTTGCAAATGACCGGATTTCATTGTTTTTGACTGCTGTATAGTATTCTATAGAGTACATGTCCCATAATTTCTTTATCCAGTCTACTGTTGATGGGCATTTGGGTTGGTTCCAGGTCTTAGCTATTGTGAATTGAGCTACAATAAACATTAATGTGCAGACAGCTTTTTTGTTTGCCAATTTAATTTCCTTTGGGTAAATTCCAAAGAGTGGGATGGCTGGGTTGTATGGTAGGGTTATATTCAGGTTTCCGAGGAATCTCCAGACTGACTTCCATAGTGGCTTAACCAGTTTGCATTCCCACCAACAGTGGGTTAGTGTCCCTTTTTCCCCACATCCTCTCCAGCATCTATTGTTGGTAGATTTCTGAATGTGAGCCATTCTCATCGGGGTGAGGTGAAACCTCATTGTGGTTTTGATTTGCATTTCCCTGATTGCTAGTGATCTTGAACATTTTTCATGTGTCTGTTGGCCATTTGGATTTCCTCTTTTGAAAAATGTCTATTGAGGTCCTTGACCCATCTCTTCAGTGGGTTGTTTGTTTTAATGTTGTGGAGTTTCTTGATTTCTTTGTAGATTCTGGTTATCAACCCTTTATCTGTTGAGTAGTTTGCAAATATTTTTTTCCCATTCTGTCGGTTGCCTCTTCACTCTCCTGTTTCTTTTGCAGTACAGAAACTTCTCAATTAGATGCCATCCCAATAGTTAATTTTGGCTTTGACTGCCTGCACCTCCAGGGTCTTTTCCAGGAAGTCTTTGCTGGTACCTATATCTTGCAGGGTTTCTCCAATGCTCTCTAATAATTTGATGTTAAAGAACTCTACTAAGAGACTATTGGAACTCATAGAAGAGTTTGTCAAAGTAGCAGGATATAAAATCAATGCACAAAAATCAACAGCCTTTGTATACACAGGCAATGCCACAGCTGAGGAAGAACTTCTAAGATCAATCCCATTCACAATAGCTACAAAAACAATCAAATACCTTGGAATAAACTTAACCAAGGACGTTAAAGATCTCTACGAAGAGGATACCAAAAAATGGAAAAATCTTCTATGCTCATGGATTAGAAGAATCAATATCATTAAAATGTCCATTCTCCCAAAAGCAATTTACAGATTCAATGCAATACCAATCAAAATACTTAAGACCTTCTTCTCAGATCTGGAAAAAATAATGCTGAAATTCATATGGAGACACAGGAGACCTCAAATAGCTAAAGCAATCTTGTACAACAAAAACAAAGCTGGAGGTATCACAATACCAGATTTCAGGACATACTACAGGGCAGTTGTTATCAAAACAGCATGGTACTGGTACAGAAACAGATGGATAGACCAATGGAACAGAATAGAAACACCAGAAATCAATCGAAACATCTACAGCCAACTTATATTTGATCAAGGATCTAAAACCAATCCCTGGAGTAAGGACAGTCTATTCAATAAATGGTGCTGGAAAAATTGGATTTCCACGTGCAGAATCATGAAGCAAGACCCCTACCTTTCACCTTACACAAAAATTCACTCAACATGGATTAAAGACTTAAATCTACGACTTGACACCATCAAATTATTAGAACCTCCATCTTTTTAAGGGCTGCACAGTATTTACATTGGGTATATAAAGCACATTTCTTCTTACCCATTCATCTGTTGATGAACCCTTAGGTTGACTCCATATCGACATGTTGCGAATATGCTGCAGTGAGTACATGAGTGCAGATATCTTTTTGGCAAGCTGAATTTGACTTACTTGGGTATATATCCCAAAAGCTAGATCACACAATGATCCTATTTTTAGTTTTCTCAGGAATTTCCATAGTATTTTTCAAAATGGTCGAACTCAGGGCCGGCGCCGCGGCTCACTAGGCTAATCCTCCGCCTTACGGCGCCAGCACACCAGGTTCTAGTCCCGGTCGGGGAGCCGTATTCTGTCCCGGTTGCCCCTCTTCCAGGCCAGCTCTCTGCTGTGGCCAGGGAGTGCAGTGGAGGATGGCCCAAGTGCTTGGGCCCTGTACCCCATGGGAGACCAGGAGAAGTACCTGGCTCCTGCCATCGGATCAGCGCGGTGCGCCGGCCGCAGCGCGCCGGCCGTGGCGGCCATTGGAGGGTGAACCAACGGCAAAAGGAAGACCTTTCTCTCTGTCTCTCTCTCTCTCTCACTGTCCACTCTGCCTGTCAAAAAATAAAAAAAATTTTAAAATTAAAAAAAAAAAAACAAAAATGGTCGAACTCATGGCTCTTCTCAAAACCACACAAGATAACAATGCTGAGAATATTACAAAAACCAAGAGAATTGGATTCCACACCCAATATATTTCCTTTAATATTCTGATGTTGTTATTATTTTCCCAAAGTAAATTCTCCCTCAAGTTTTGGCCAGACTTTCTGAACTTTTCTTCAAAAATTCAAAATAGTTTCTCTAAATTCTGTGCCCTAGAATGCTGTGTAGGGGGTGGTGAGAGGACAGACTGATTTCAGGTTACATTTGTGAATGTAAGCATTATCTGTGAGGCAAATACAGCATGTCTCCAGCATATATTTCACAGGCAGCTTTATAACTGGATAATAATGGTTCAAGGTCTGGAGTCAGACTCAAGTTCCAGCACTAGCTACCTATGCGAGGCTGTTTTCTCATCTTCCTCACCTTTCAAATGGTCACAACACCAGCATGGCCAGCCTCACTGGGGTCAACGTGATAACAGCACTGGCTGATACTGGTTAAGAGGCCAGTAGGAAGACAACAGCAGATTGCAACATCTCTGCACTACCACACAGGACACTGACATGGAGAGGCGACCTCATGAGGACCTGAGACAGCTACACCTAATTTCTTTTGGATGACTGTAAACTGGAAAGGATGGGAGAAAGCATTGTGAGAGAAAACAGCTCCAGGCATTGGCAACCGCAGTTGGATAAACCCTCTAAAGCACTGTATGACACAGGTCTTGGGTCTGGCCTTGAAAAATGGGGATTTTACTTGGGGGAGGAAATTCATTTGAAGCTGGGGGCAGATTTTGGGCTTGTCTGGTTTTTATTAATCAAATGGAAGTGCTGGGCTAGTCAACGCCAGTTTGCAAACCAGCCCTGGGCGTACTAGACCTGGGAGCTGGGCCCCTGGGTTTCCACTGCGTCAGTTTGCTGGCCCCAGGCTCCACCCCTCCACTGTTGCTGGACAACACTTGGTGGCAGGGAGCGTGGCCTGAGATCAGTGCAGGGCGCCCACCTGCCCGCATGTTGCTCTCACACTAGTGGAAAAGAGCCATGGAAGACCCAAGCTCCCTTCCAGAGCTTTCCATGAAAGTCAGGGGGAAGACAGAAATGGTTGTCCCCTGGGTCTTGAAAAATTAAAATCTGCATTTGGGGGTGAGGAAAGAGATTATGGGACTTTTAAAAGAACTTTTTGTGTGTATGCGTCACCCTAGAGTGAATTGGGCTGTACGCAAGTAAATTATTAACCTGATTCAGTTGCTTGTCGGTTATCAAAACTGTCAGAACAGGATGTTACAAAACTGGAGATGAATAGATGGAAATTTGTCCTCTTGTGATATCTTCATAGGAAAAAAAAAAAAAACTGCTACCCTTCAATCTTTCAGGTGTGTGTGTGTGTTGGATGGAGAAATTTCCAAGGAAATCAATGGTTAAGATTTACAAACTTTCATTTGGATCTCCATACACTATAAGCTAAGAAGTGACATTTCCAAATTGGGGACAAAATTCAAGGTATATTTATTTATTTGATGCATCCTTAACAGATTCATTTACTAATGCTCTGGAGCATTTCATGACAAAAGGTTAAAAACCTTAATCCACTACTTCATACCTTTAAGAATGACGATGAGAGTGAGAGAGAGAGGGAGGGCAAATAAGTGTTGGTGAAGATGTGAAGAAACAGGAACTCTTGTGCACTGTTGGGTGAGAATTGAAAATGGTGCATTCTCAGAAAATTCTGAATAAATACTCTGAATAAATACTCCAGATAATTGGAAACAAAAAGTCACCCTCACTTGCACACCTGTAATAACAGCTGCATTATTAAAGATAGCCAAGGCCGGCGCCGCAGCTCACTAGGCTAATCCTCTGCCTTGCGGCGCCGGCACACCAAGTTCTAGTCCCGGTCGGGGTGCCGGATTCTGTCCCGGTTGCCCCTCTTCCAGGCCAGCTCTCTGCTATGGCCAGGGAGTGCAGTGGAGGATGGCCCAGGTACTTGGGCCCTGCACCCCATGGGAGACCAGGAGAAGTACCTGGCTCCTGCCATCAGATCAGCACAGTGCGCTGGCTGCAGCGCGCCAGCCGCGGCGGCCATTGGGGGGTGAACCAACGGCAAAGGAAGACCTTTCTCTCTGTCTGTCTCTCTCACTGTCCACTCTGCCTGTCAAAAAATAAAAATAAAAAAAATTTAAAAAAAGATAGCCAAAATGTGGTATCAGTCCTAGTGTGTGTGGACTGATGAATGCATACAGAAAACATGGCAAACACATCTCCTAGAATAGTGCTCAGCCATAAAGAGGAGGGAAATTCTCACACACACTACAACATGGATGAACAGAGCAGATGTTACGCCAAGAAAATAATACAAGGATGAACCTGAAGACATTAGGCCAATCAAATACTGTCTGGCTCCCCCTCTGTGAGATACCTGGAGTAGTCAGACTCATAGAGATAAAAATTAAAATAGTGGTTGCCAGAGGCTGGTGGGAGGAGCAAATGAGGAACTGTTGTTTGATGAGTATAGAGCTTCAGGTTTTGCAAGACGAGGAGAGCTTTATGGATGAATGGTGGTGAGGGCACCACAACACACATGAATGCACTTGTTTAGCTGATTGGACATTTAAAAAAAGTTAAGAGGGCAGGCCAGCACCGTGGCTCACTAGGCTAATCTCCACCTGCGGTGCCAGCACCCCGGGTTCTAGTCCCGGTCCGGGCACCGGATTCTGTCCCGGTCGCTCCTCTTCCTGTCCAGCTCTCTGCTGTGGCCCAGGAAGGCAGTGGAGGATGGCCCAAACCCGCATGGGAGACCAGGAGAAGCACCTGGCTCCTGCCTTTGGATCATCGCGGTGCGCCGCCCGGCTGGTATTGCGGGGTGAACCAACGGAAAAGGAAGACCTTTCTCTCTGTCTCTCTCTCACACTGTCCACTCTGCCTGTAAAAAAAAAATTAATTAATTAAAAAAAGTAGTTAAGAGGGCAAACTCTGTGTTATGTGTGTTTTGTCACAGTGTTTAAAAACTCCATTCCAGATGGATGTCATCACTTGCTACCCAAATAAACTTAGAGACAGCAAGCGACAACTTATTCTCCCAGTGATTATTCTAAATTTTTGTACTGTTAATCATCAAATTTGTTTCAAAAATTTCAGTGTTGGTATAAATTTGCTGCCAGGAGTGATAGCTGACAGCTTTGCAGATCATTAACTTGGAAATGTTGAAGTTATACTCACATTGTAATTTTTTCCTCTTAAACATTTATTTTCCAGAACACCACAAGAACAATTGTCTAACGTCAGAAAACAAGCTGTTGGATGTGTTGAGATAGTAAGTGTACCCAGTTAGAAAATCTCTCTGTCAGAAAATTCTATGGAATTACCAGTAGTACATAGAGTAACTGTGTTTATTGGATAGTTTACATGCATCATTTGAGGGAAAGGAAATTAAAAAAAATTCATTGACATGTAATTTCCAGTAGGATAAAAGCTCAAAAGTTTCATAATGAGATAAAGAAAAAAGTAGCACAACACCCATACAATTATCAGTTTAAACAAAAGTGTGTGTATTATGTATAATTGTTACTAGAGGTTATTTCTGAGTGGTGGGGGATTATGAATGACTTTTGCTATCTGTGTTTGTGTTTCATTATTTTCCAATGCTTCTACACTGATAGGTGTTGCTGTTCCTATTTTAAAAGTGTTATAATCTTTTTGAAATAGAAAGTAATTAAATATTTTGTAAAGTCTAAGTATCATAAAATGTGTCAGCCACTTCTTTGAGATTATATTCAAGAAATATTTTCATTTAAAAAAAATTGAGGCAGACAGCAACCCCACTCACTGATTCACTTCCTAAATGCCCCCCAAAACCCAGGCCAGGCTCTCGAAGCCAAGAGCTGAGGACTCAATCTTTGTCTCAGAAGCCAACTACCTGAGCCATCACCACTGCCTCCCCGAATCCCCCATAGCAGGAAGCTCCTAGGAAACTGAGCCGTACATCAAAGCCAGGCATTCAAGCGTGGGCGCAGGCATCCTAACCACTGTCATAACCAACTGCATACCCCAAGGAACATTGTCATAGATGTGCTTCCAGACATCAGCTTTGCCAACTCTGGTCTCTGTCAGTGTCATGTCATTAGAAGTATCACGTCATTAGAAGGGCCTGTGCTGTGGCACAACGGGTAAAGCCACTGCCTGCAGTGCCAGCATCCCATAGGGGCACTGGTTCAAGTCCCCACTGCCTCAATTCTGATCCAGCTCTCTGCTATGGCCTGGGAAAGCAGTGGAAGATGGCCCAAGTTCTCAGGCCCCTGAACCCACATGGGAAACCCAGAACCTGGCTTCGGAAGGGCGCAGCTCCAGCCATTGCAGCCAACTGGGGAGTGAACTAGTGGATGGAAGACCTCTCTCTCTCTCTCTCTCTCTCTTTCTCTGCCTCTCCTTCTCTCTCTGTGTAACTCTTTCAAATAAATAAATAAATCTTTTAAAAAATTAAAAAGTGCACGTGAAATAGCACTTGTTTTCTCAAAAGCCAACTTTTACCAAAAACAAAAGCCTGGGAAGTATAGAACATGACAGAAGTTATCAAGGAGATTTATTCTGGGGCATGGGAGAGATTCCTTCTCTTCTGCAGTGCTGACGACAATGCTGGGGAAGTTACTCTCTGAATGTCTAGTAGCTTTTGCAGGAATGAATGGAAAAGCATGAAATGTTTAGCTTTCCGGTGTTTCTTATTCCAGATAGTCCTGCAAATATTACAGATTCTTACTTATAGGATAGAAATTGTTCTGGATAGAAAAAAATCCGAGGAACTTAAAATTTAAGAATCTAAAATGTACAATTCACTGTACTTTTACTAGTTGGTTAACTGTTCACTGCACTTAGTTGGCACATCGCTATGATGTGAGCTTAGAGTTCATAGTTTGCAGATGCACTTTCCATAAACTAAGACCTTGTCACTGCAGTTGTTTAAATATTTATTTATTTATTTATTTATTTGACAGGTAGAGTTATAGACAGTGAGAGAGAGAGACAGAGAGAAAGGTCTTCCTTTTTCCGTTGGTTCACTCCCCAAATGGATGCTACTATGGCCGGTACTGTGCTGATCCGAAGCCAGGAGCCAGGTGCTTCTTCCTGGTCTCCCATGCGGGTGCAGGGCCCAAGGACTTGGGCCATCCTCTACTGCACTCCCGGGCCACAGCAGAGAGCTGGACTGGAAGAGGAGCAACCGAGACTAGAATTGGCACCCATATGGGATGCCGGCACCGCAGGCAGAGGATTAACCAAGTGAGCCACGGCGCTGGCCCCAGTTGTTTAAATATCTTAACTTCCTCCAGAATCAACCAAGGGGAGCAAAGTTTCTGATTCTTGCCCGCCTCTTATCTGATGCGTGTCACCTCCTACAATTCATATGATGTAGACGCTTGGTTTTCTGAATTTCTTCTTCAAAGCAGATTGTAAATCCTTAAGATTCAGTGTTTACTTATTCTTTTTTACTTAATATATAAAAAAAAATCCATGATTTTATACATCTATTTAATCTCTTAATTTGGAAAGTACTCTACGACTCAAGCTGTGGGTTGTGTTTTGCTTGTTTTATAGCCTTAACTAATGCTCCCATGCCTTGTGTTCCTTAGTTCCGCTTTGCTGATGGGCTGGACATCACCCTCATGATCCTGGGGGCACTCGCATCATTGGTCAACGGGGCCTGTCTTCCTCTGATGTCGCTGGTTTTAGGAGAAGTGAGTGATCACCTTGTTAGTGGATGTCTAGTCCAAACCAATGCAAGTGAGTTCAAGATTTGTTTCTGTATTGCTAGGGACTTAAATGCATTGTATAAAACCATTAAACCTTGAATTCATACTGAAGCTTATTATATCATAAAATAATATGCATATAATATGCATTTAAGTCTCTTTTTAAAACATTAAAAGAGCTGTTTTAAAACAAAATCTGTATTAATCAGGGTTTTCAAGAGAAACAGAACCAATTGTGTGTGTGTGTGTGTGTGTATGTAGAATGATAAAGACAGATTTATTTTAAAGAATTGGTTCACATGAATATGGAGTTCAGAATATACAGGGCAGGGGCCGGTGCTATGGGGCAGCAGGTTAAGTTGCAGCCTCTGGCACCGGCATATGGGCAGCAGTTCGAGTCCTGGCTGCTCCACTTCCAATCCAGCTCTCTGCTATGGCCTGGGAAAAGTAGCGGAGGATAGCCCAGGTCCTTGGGCCCCTCCACCCACGTGGGAGACCAGGAAGAAGCTCCTGGCTCCTGGCTTTGGCATGGCCAGCCTCGATCGTTGCAGCCAATTAGGGAGTGGCCCAGCAGGTGCAGGATCTCTCTTTCTGTCTCTCCTCTCTTTCTCTGGCTCTGCTTTCAAATAAATACATAAATCCTGAAAGAAAGAGAGAAAGAAGGGAGGGAGGGAGAGTACGCAGAACAGATTGGAGACAATCTTGCAGTTCAAGTGCAAAGTCTGCTTGCTAATGATCAGTAAGAATCCTGTGAGATAAAGTTTAGCTCAGTCTGTCTCTCTAGGAATTCAAATAATTTACTGTTACAAGTGATTATATAAACACTTAATCAAACCCTTGGGCCTTCCTAGGCCACGTAGCTATAAGGTACCGCTCCAAAGGAAAAATCAAAAAATTAAGAATGGCTATGTCTTCTGGCTTACTAGATGCTTGGAGCTTCTTTAACAGAGAGAGAACACAATGAAGCAAGCAGGCAGGAAGTCGCATGCAGGAAAGGACAGTCACAGAGACAAATACCCTGAAGGAAGACGAGTGGAGGAACTGGCATCAGTGTGCAGTGAAGTGCTGCCACATTACCCGTGTGTGTAGGCACCCTTCTTTGCATTCAGCGTTTGTCCTTTAAGGAGACATTATTCTTTATGTGGAAATACACTGATTTCCCAATGCACTAACATGTGAGTGTCCACTCTTTATTTAGTGGATGTTCTCAACATGAGTAATTGCCTGATAATGTATTTTTTCCCCAAATTCCATGCGAGGAAGTAAAAACCTGGACTGTCTTTTACACACTAGTGTAGCTCTCTACCATGTACTTCCATCACTGCCCTATTCAACTTGAATACTAAGCTATACCAACTTGGTTTCACCCAAAGGCTTTTAAGTGTTCCAGTGTTCTTTGAGAGAAATAAACCCATTGCTTCCATCTCTCTACATCCTTCTATCTGGTGGTCTCCTGTCTAAACAGAAAATTTTTATGTAAGTATAGTTAATGAAAAGAAATATTACTTATATAATGTATAACTATTTTCATTGTATATCAATAATATAATATTGAATTGAAAATAATATAATATTCAAATTAACGATAATAACTTAAAATTTTTATTTTAGTGAAAAAGCTAAATATATAAGCTAATTTGTTGTTAAATAGATCCACCAATTCACTGAATGCATATTCACTGCTTGCCAGCTATGAATGAATGAATGAATGAATGATAAACCTAAAGCATTCTGTTGAGGACTATTCCTTTTTTAGATCTATTCTGTAACTCATTGCCTTACTACTTAACATAGGACAGGAGTGCATACCTGCTGTGATGTATTTTATCAGATATGCTGAACATATATAAATTTGTGTGATGAAGCTTTAGATAAACTCATGGATAGCAGTGATATTTTAAAACACATTATTAAAAGAGAAGCAGGGCTATTCATTTGAACATAGATTTTTCTGGAGAATAATATGAAAGTACTGCAAAAGTTTATGGAAAAAATTGAATTGAAAGATAAGTTTATTTTGGTGCAAAAATGAAATCTATGCAATTTTTTCATAATAAGTACTTTGAGGACCTCCTGGAAAGCTGTTGACCCTGCCAATAAAAGTATGAATAATAACTGCCCATTGGCTGAGACCATTTTTGTGCCAGCACTGTAGTTTTGCAACTATTGCTTCTATAAATATCATCTCCAAAATGAGACTATGGTATGTTTATAGAAATATAGGCACCATGTTTGGAAGGAGTGCTACTCTCTTTATTAGTTCAGTTAAACTTCATTAAAACTGTTTACTAGGTTTTACTACCTTTGCTCCTGCCAGGTCAATTCTGCTATTTTTGGAATAAGCTGCTTTAGAATTTTTCCCTCCCACAGTTCTATAAATAGAATAGGGGAAATGCTTGCACATAAATGAAGATCGAAGGCTTTATTCTAAGTGATGATGTTAGGGCAATGTAAGCAACGAAGGGTCATCATAACTACACATCATTGCAAATATTGATTATAGGGGTTTAAAGAAGAAAATCATGAAATGGTCTTACGTGCTGGTGAAATCAGGACCTTAGTCTACCAGTAAATGCACAATGTATTTCTCACTAGAAGATGTATAGCAAAATTTACTTGGAAAGTGTATAAACCAAGCATTAAACACTGTTGTATTATATTGCTATCCTAGTCTTAGCCAAGATATTTTAATGAATTTCCTTTCCATTTTTTTCCATGGCTACTTTTAGAGCTTCACGTGCTCTTTTTTTTCTTGGACTTTCTAAGCCATTCCCTTAGGTGACTCAATTAATTCTAAATACATGATCTCAGGCAGCAAGAGGCATTCTAAACGCAATGCTTTCCTAACTGTTGCCACATCAGACATGCCCCCAAACAATTTTTTCTGAGTATAAGCTATGGTTGATGTTTGCTTGTATTTTTTCACATTACATGAATATTTCTTAAGAGTGGAGATAATTATTTCAAGTTCCAGATTGAAGAATAGAAAACCAGATGATTGTAAGCCTCTGTACGGACATTGAGTCCATTTTCTTAATAATGCATTGTGTTTGCTTTGGAAGTCTACCTGTGAAACAGTAAGGCCAAGTATTAATTAATTTCTTTTATAAATTAAAAAACTTATTTTTACAGCAAATTATCAGAACTGTACTAAGTCTCAAGAGAAGCTGAATGAAGATATGATTGTGTAAGTCCAAATGAAATATCAATATCAAATGCATTACATGCTGCTGTATTCAATACTTATAAGAAAAAACAACTAAAAATTTTATCAGATTATTAATAGTAAATGTAAGTGATCAAAGCAAAAATGTCTACTTCTTTAATTAGGTGCATAAAATATAGTTAGTTCATAATTGTTTCTTGTATTTGTATAGGTTGTATGCTTTGAGCTGTATTTGACAAAATTTTCCTCCATAGAAAAGTGAGGATTTACATTTTAATTTTTTTATTTAATTAATTTTTAAGAGGCAGAGAGAATTCCCATCTGCTGCTTCACTCCCCAAATGCCTTTGTGGGTCAGGGTCAGGATTGGCCCAGGCCAAAGCCAGAGGTCTCCCATGTGGGGGCAGGGGCCCAACTACTTGGGCCATGGTACTTGGAGATACTACCTCCAAGATGTGCATTAGAATAAAGGTGGATTTGGGAGCAAAACCAGGACTCTACCGCAGGCCTTGTGATATGGGATGTGAGTGTTCCAGATGGCATCTAATTGCTGCACCAAATGCCTGTCCCAGAATTTGCATTTTATACGAATTTGACCTCCTAGAATTGAAGGTATACAACTTAGCAAAGTTTTTAAAATTATTTCCTCCAAGCTTTATAGAAAATGCCATCTCTATAAATGTTAAAAATAAAAATTAAAAAATGTTAAAAATAAATAAATGTTATCAGATGAAAATTTTAAGGTTTTATTCAGACTAATTTTGGAGACTCATTGTTCAATCTATATATTAGTCAGCTTTTTTTACTTAACTAAAATACCTGAGAGGAATTTCTTGGGAAAGAAATGGTTTATCTTGGGTTATAATTTGGAGGTTCATGGCTCAGGATCTGGAGGCCTCATTAGTCTGGCATCAGAGGAGACTGGCAATGGTGGAGCAGGTGCACAGGAATGGTCACACAGTAAGCAGATGCAGAGAGAGAAGCTAGGCCCAACCTACATTAAATAACCAACCCATGGAGTTAGTGTAGTGGGTAAAGCTACCGCCTGTGGCATGGGCATCCTAAATGAGCGCCAGTTCAAGTCCTAGCTGCTCCATTTCCATCCAGCTCCCTGATAATGCACCTGGAAAAGTAGCAGAAGATGGCCTAAGTGCTTCCCTCCCCTCCCCTCCCCTCCCCTTCCCCCATGTGGAAGACCCAGAAGAAGCTCCTGGCTTCAGCTTGATCCAGCCCTAGCCATTGAGGCTATTTGGGGAGTGAACCAGCAGATGGAAGATATCTCTCCCTGTGTCTCTCCCTCTCTCACTGTAACTCAGCCTTCCAAATAAATAAAATAAATCTTTAAAAATAAATGAATAAATAAACAACACTCTGGTGAGAAGCACCTTCCGAGGGCAAGTCCTCAATGAGCTAAGGACCTCCCAACAAACCCACCTTTCAGATGCCACAATAGGTCAAGTCTCCACTCTTAACCAATAACCATTAATAAAATCAGACTTAATAGTTTAAACATCTTCTGAGTTTAGGAAGCTAAGTCCTGTTAAATCCATAGTAGACCATTATAGTAAAGTTGTATCCAGAGTAAAAATTATTAAGTCAGAGTGATAATTTACGAAGGCACTCTATTTTTGTAATTCTATATATTGGTCAATCACTTGCTTCTTTACTGAGTATTTTCACTGGATTTCCATAGTGTCTTACTAAAGTTATCCATCTTTGCCACAACCTATGTGTGCTCTATTATTTTCCCATAGAAGTGAACGGTTCATGTTGTACAATCCCAAAGAACACCCATCACATTTCAGTGATATTTTGGGGACCACAATTCTCTTTAATTTTACTTATTTACTTTTATTTACTTGAAAGGCAGAGAGGGAGAGAAAGAGAGAGAGAGAGAGATCTTCCATCTGCTGGTTTACTCCCCAAATGCCCAAAACAGCTAGGGATGAGTCAGGCTGAAACAGGCAGCCTGGAATTCAATCTAGGTCTCCCACGTGAGAGGCTGGGACCCAAGCACTTGAGCCATTACCTCCTTCTTCCCCAGGTTTGCCTTATGAGGAAGCTGGAATCAGAAGTGTTGGGACTGGGAAACTCAGGCACTCTGACAAGGGATGCCATACTGGATAGCATGGATGTTGAACATTTTCTTGGTCACAGAAAGTTCTATCAGAGAATACAATTCTGGACCACAGTATGAATGGTCGTCCTTTGCATTCAGTTTTGCTATTCAACATTCTTTGTTCTCTGGAGGGAAGTTCTTTTTTTTTTTTTTAACAACTTTTGCATAGCATTTATTTATATTGAATCTTTCAAAAATTTTCCATTACAATCCAGGATACTGTCTTCTACTGAATTTTGGTCTTACATTATTGACTTAGAGTGCTTATATATAATATGAAGTATAAATTTCTTACAAAAATACTTAGAAAAATTTTAAATTGAGATATTTATTTTTGAGACATGCAATAAAGGGTTAGATAAGATGAAATAATACAAGGAATATTTGAAAATTTCATGGAAATGCCAATTAGGAAAAACTATGTCTGGATTTAAAAAGCTTTTACACCAAAATAATATTTTAATCTCATTTTCTATGAACTTTTTAAAGTTTGTGCATGTCTATGTACAGTTATTAAAAGCTGCTAAATTTATAAACATTTTTGACATTTATGAAGTACCACTGTATTTGTTATAATATTGTTTTTAAAACCAGTGTCCTGTTTTGGAACTATCTGAGCTCCATGATGGAAAAGGTTCCTAATTGAGTTGCTTTGGAAAACACCATTATATTACAGCCTCCTATAGCTACACACAGGGAAGATAAGCAGAGCAAAGGTTCTGCTTAGTTAATTTTGTTTAGTCCAAGTTTTCCAATCCTGACTACGGAAACTGATTTTTTTCCCTCTAACATCTATTAACATCTTGTGGAAATTACATTTTGGAGAAGTATTTATTTATATCACCTTTTTCTTGAGCACAAGGTAATACTTTTTTCATCCATAATCATCAGGAACTATAGAATTCTACTCTACCTAAGTTTTTTTTCCAAAGAAAATAACTCATAGCTTCATATCATTTTAATGTTGTTTGTACCTTTGTGTTATCAGAAAATTATTCTGAAATAACTCAATCTTTTCTTGCTGACTCCAAATCAGAATGACTAAATAAAATTACTATTGCTGAATATGATACCTCCTTTTCTGCTCTCAAGAGTTAATTTATTAATTTTATATGAACTCCTAAATGACTTTTTCCTTCCCTTTCACTACTTCTGATTCATCTATTATATCCTGCTTTGAAAGTGAAAGGGAAAACTGGATGATCAACTCATTTAAATGAAGTTCAACTGCACTTAATGTAAGGTTCATCATCAGAGTAGCTTAACTATATGGCAGAGATTTATTTTTATTACACATAAAAATCTGAAAGCAAGCAGCCCAACGACAAAATATGACTCAACAGGCACAAGGTACTTCTCTTTCTTTCTTTCTACTCCCCCCTTGTTGTACTGGCTGCCATTATCAGTATCACCTCCTGGTCTTCAGTGATTGTATAGGAAGATAAAGAAAAGACCCCAAAAATCTACATTCCTAGGTGAGTCAGCTATGTTAATCAGCCTGTCAGAAATCCCACACAACAATTCCACTTACATCTGAAACTATCCTTATATTGGGCATATGGTTGCCTCCATTTTAGCTGAGCATATTCTCACTCCAAACAAAATGGGAGTTCTGTTACCAATAAAAAGAGATAAGGACAGCTATTGGGTGACAGATTAGATAAATAGCAATTTCTGCTGCATCAAGTTGTAGCCTAGAATAAGTTTCAAAGAGTGTACAGCAGAGTTAACAAATGTGAATAGATGATACATTTTTAAAAGGAGATGGCGCTCTTTCTGGTCAAATGGTCTGAAATAGCCAGGGTGAACAACATTATTTCTTTGCTTTGTAATTTTTTAACATGCATAGAGACATCATCAGTCTCCAGGCTATGTGTAGGTAGTAAGGTTTCCCGTCTTTGGAAGCATCTCCAGAATTATTCAGATCATAAGCTCAGGACTCTGATCATGGGCTCTGCCACTCATTTTTTTTTTTAAGATTTATTTATTTAAAAGTAAGAATTACACAGAGAGAGGTCTTCCATCCGATGGTTCACTCCCTAGATGGTCTCAACGGCCGGAGCTGTGCCTATCTGAAGCCAGGAGCCAAGAGCTTCTTCCAGGTCTCCCACGTGGGTGCAGGGGCCCAAGGACATGGGCCATCTTCTACTACTTTCCCAGGCCATAGCAGAGAGCTAGATCAGAAGAGGAGCAGCCGGGATTAGAACCGGGGCCCATATGGGATGCCGGCACTTCAGGCAGGGCGTTAACCCGCTGTGCCACAGCACTGGTCCCCTGCCAGTTTCTTGCTTGTAGCAATTGTTGAGTAACTTCTTTTTTTTTAATTTTTTTGTTGTTGTTGTTTAATTTTTTGACAGGCAGAGTGGACAGTGAGAGACAGAGACAGAAAGGTCTTCCTTTGCCGTTGGTTCACCCTCCAATGGCCACCAAGGCCGGCGCACTGCACTGATCCAATGGCAGGAGCCAGGTGCTTCTCCTGGTCTCCCATGCGGGTGCAGGGCCCAAGCACTTGGGCCATCCTCCACTGCACTCCCTGGCCACAGCAGAGAGCTGGCCTGGAAGAGGGGCAACGGGGACAGAATCCAGCGCCCCGACCAGGACTAGAACCTGGTGTGCCGGCGCCACAAGGAGGAGGATTAGCCTAGTGAGCCGCGGCGCCGGCCATTGAGTAACTTCTATAAGCTTCAGTTACTTGGATATGTAAGGGGCCTGTCATAATGTTTAACATACAGTACAGGCTCAATATGTGGAACAATTAAATCTAAATTTCCATGATAGTTTGACTCAAGAAGTTTTATTTCCTGGTGCAAAAAAAAAAAAAAAAAAAGAATTGCTTGGACTCTTAGACTTTATATCTTCTTCTGGGTCCCAAGTAGTTTGGAAGTCTGCTTGCTGGACAATGAGAAGTTACCTCACATGGTTCTTCCACATTGAAAAGTTAGATGTGTTATTTTGGTTTTGTGGTTCTTGTTGTGAAAGGATAGTTTAAAAAGGGAAGCAGTGCTTCTATAAAAATTATTTTAAATTACTTTCTCTGTTGAAATATTGGCAAATATATTCTCCCACCTGTAAGTAGTCAGTCTTTTTGTTTTATTAAACATTTCTTCTGCAGCACAAAAGTCTTAAGTTTTGATGAATTCCAGTATATCAAGTTTGTCTTATAGATTGTGTTGTGTTTTTGGATTTAAGAATTCTTTGCCCTATGTAGGATCATTAAGATTTTCTCCTATATTTTCTTCTAGAAGTTTCAAAGTTTTAACTCTTATACTTTTGTGAGTGGTGTGAGGGAAGGATCTAAAGCCATCTTTTCCACATATTACTATCCAGTTGTCTCAGCACTCTTTGTTGAATAAATTATCTTTTTCCACTGAACTGACTTGCCACCATTGCTAAAATCCAGTCTGTAAAGTATCTGTTTTCTCAGTTCTGTTGCATTTCTTGATATATGTGCTTTTATCCCAGCATCACATTGTCTTGACTACTGTAGTTTTGAAGCTTACAGAAATAAAATCAGAAAGTTTAAATTCTTCAACTTCATTCTTCTTTTTAAAAATTGTTTTGGCTATTGTTAGTCCTTTGCATTTCTATGCACCTTAGGATTATCTTGCCAATTTCTGCCAAGAGTCTTCCAGAATTTTTACAGGGATTGCATTGAATCCATAGATCAATGTGAGAAGAAATGTCATCTTCTTCTTTAAGATTTATTTTATTTATTTGAAAGACAGAGTTACAAAGAGAGGGGGAGAGAGAGAGAGAGGTCTTTCATCCGCTGGTTCACTCACCAGAAGGCCACAATGGCTGGAGCTGTGCCAATCTGAAGCCAGGAACCAGGAGCTTCTTTCGGGTTTCCCATGTGGGTGCAGGGGCCCAAAGACTTGAGCCATTTTCTACTGCTTTCCCTGGTGCATTAGCAGAGAGCTGGATCAGAAGTGGAGCAGCCAGGACTCGAACCAGTGCCCATATGGGATGCTAGCACTGCAGGCCAGGGCTTTAACTCACTGCACCACAGCGCCTACCCCCAAACGTCATCTCAACATCACTGCATTTTCCAGTGCAGAGCATGGGTTACCACTCCCATTGTTTTAGCCCTTTTCCTCCTTCTGATAAGGTGTCTTGTCTTCAAGGCAGGAACCGAGCTTTTTGTCTTCTTAGTCATCTTTTTAGCAGAGAAGTTTGTGGGAGGGGTCCATGAGTCCGACAACTTTTATTTCCAAAATACATCTAGAACCTATCTACTTCTGTGTATCAGGTCGCAAACATCTTCCTCCAAGTCCATTGCTGTCACTGCATCTGTTCTCCACAAGGAGCTGGAGTGATCTTTCATACTGTTGAACACATCTGTTCATCTTATACTTCAGTCTCCCAGTCATCACCTGTATCTCACAGAATCAGATCTCCACAGTACGCTGTAGCTGAGCCCCGTGGTGTGCCACATTCCCCAGCCTCATCCTCTCAGCCCCAGTCTGGGATTTGTTGTTGTTGCTCGTTCAGCTTTTGTCAGCCTCAGACTCTCCTGGGAGAGACTCCTTCTGTCTCCCTGGAATACTCTTGAAACGGCTGGCTCATTCCAACTTTGGAATCCCAGCTATGATCTTGCTTCCTCAAAGAAACTTTCCTGACCACTCTGTTCATGTGCACCAGCTCTCTCTGCCCAAGTTTATCCACCACTTACCTTGTGACCACCATCCTGCTTGCTTCTTTGGTGGAACAGCTTGAAACTGGGTGTTTTGTCTGCCACTGTCCATCAAAATAGGAGGACTTCTTGTCTTGCTCGTGGCTGTGTCTGTAGAACTTCACATTTAGAGGGCAGCCCGTAGATGCTTAGTGATTGACTACATGTCTATCTGACCCCTGCTGTTAGATACCTAGATGGTGGGGCTGGCACTGTGTCATAGCGGACAAAGGTGCCACCTGCAGTGCCATCATCCCATATGGATGCTGGTTCGAGTCCTGGCTTCTCCACTTCCAATCCGGCTCCCTGCTAATGTGCCTAGGAAAGCAGCAGAAGACAGTCCAAGTCCTTGGGCACCTGTACCCACATGGGAGACCCAGAAGAAGCTCCTGGCTCCTGGCTTCTGATTGGCCCAACTCTAGCCATTACAGCCATTTAGGAAGTGAACCAGCAGATGGAAGATTTCTCTCTATCTCTCTGACTCTGCCTCTCTGTAATTCTGCTTTTCAAATAAATAAATAATCTTTTTTTTTTAAAAGACACCTAGATTGTTACAAGCTCCACAATGACCCTCCATTCTGATTAACCTTAGTATATTATTATCTTAGGATAAATTCCTTAAGTTGAATTTTGGGTTTAATAATACATATATTTTCCAGCTTTTTATCAAATACTTTTTGACTACTATGATTTTCTTTAGCCTCTTATTACACTATGGATCCTTTAATGACCTCAATGTAACTTTTTGTACCAAAATATTACAAACACTGACTTAAGATACAAGTAGAAAATATGTTTTTAAAATACTAATTTTATTAATAATATGAGAAACATGTTCTAAATTTTTTACAAGTGAAACCTGGATTTTTAGAATCAGTATACTTCACCCTTTCTAGTGGTAAGTTAACCTTAGTTGAGTTATTTTTTTTCTTTAAAGATTCATCAATTTATCTTACAGACAAAGTGACAAAGAAAGAGGGAGGTCATGGAAAGAGAAAAATTTACCATACACAGATCCAATATCTAAATGGCCACAATGGCTAGGGATGGTCCCAGCCAATGTCAGGAGCCCAGATCTCCATTTGCATGTCTTACATGGGTGGCAGGGGGCTCAAGTATTCGGGTCATTCTCCACCACCTTCCCAGGTGCATTAGCAGGGAACTGAAGCAGAAGCAGAGCAGCGAGGGCTTGAACTGACTCTCATGTGAGATGCCAGCATTGTAGGTGGCAGTTTAACTCACAGTGTCACAGTACCAACTCCTCTAGTTATCTTCTAAATAAATTCTCCCTAACAAATATTATCATGGGTTCATAGATTTTTTTTCTTGTGTTTTTGTTTGTTGGTTGTCTTTTCTTTTCTTTATTTATTTATTTATTTATTTTTTTTGGTAACAAGAGGAAAATGTTGTGTTTCAAAAGTTTAACGTTTCCAATCTTTCTTTAGGTTGACGCTGTATTATGTTGGCATAGGAGGCTCTGCCTTGATTTTTGGCTACATGCAGATTTCCTTTTGGGTTATGACAGCAGCACGACAGACCAAGAGAATTCGCCAGCAGTTCTTTCACTCCATTCTGGCACAAGACATCAGCTGGTTTGATGGCTGTGACATCGGCGAATTGAACACTCGCATAACAGAGTAAGAGGAACATGCGTAGGATATCAACTTTGTTCTCCTATACGGCATGTAAATGACTTAACTACATTTGTTTACTTGTCTCAGGGACATCAGCAAAATCAGCGACGGTATTGGAGACAAGCTTGCTCTACTGTTTCAAAACATGTCTACTTTTTCCATTGGCCTGGCGGTTGGCTTGGTGAAGGGCTGGAAGCTCACCCTGGTGACCCTGTCCACATCGCCTCTCATTATGGCTTCTGCAGCAGCGTGTTCCAGGGTAAGTGAGGCAACCAGGACACTGCTGCCTGGAAGCAGAAGGATGAACTCGATGGCTTACTGAATTTGCCCAAAAAGGTACAAATGCAAAAGGATCTTGTATCCCATGACTGCTGTTGAGTAGACAATAGTTATAAGCACACAGGTCTGAGGACAATGTCCCTATTGGTTCCCTTTCACTGTCCTCTTGTGCTAATTACTAAATTATAAAGAAGTAGTAAGTGGGACATATAGTAGAGGAAAGAACACATTCTAAGTTCAAATTGTGAGGAATCAGAAAAACCTGCCTCTTCTCCCAGTACTGATAGTCTCTGCTTTTCTCTGAAATTTCACTTTTTAGTGTTCAAAGATGAAGCACTTTCTAAACAGGCGGCACAATGCAAAAGCAATGTCACATCCACGTGCAAGATCGTGTTCCTCCTCTCACACCCTCTAGAAGCCTTGCTCTGTGCATGGGAACAATCAGATCAAGCCAAACAGGCTCACTCATTTCCAATAAGAATGGTGCCCCGAAAATTTTTCTCCAAATCAGGGCTTGTCCAATTGTGCCAATGTAGAAACCTATTTCTAATAGAGTTTTTAGGAATACATAGAGAAAAAGTCCTTAAATAGTAAATAATTTTTAAATTGTAAATATATATATATATATGAGAGAGAAAACAGCAAAAGAGCACAGTAGAAGAAAACATACATAGAAATTTACATGCTAGGTAATACCAGCCTATCTAGAATGCAGACTCTGTTGGAATGAACTCTTTTGCCCCTTGTCACTACCCCAGAGCCATTCTTTGGTGAACTGTGGTCATGGCTTGTTACAGATAGTCATCTCACTGACCAGTAAGGAATTAAATGCCTATTCCAAAGCTGGGGCTGTTGCAGAGGAAGTCTTGGCATCAATTCGAACCGTCATAGCCTTTGGAGCCCAGGAGAAAGAGATTCAAAGGTCTGTTCCTTTAATTGTAATAAAATGGGCTTGGTTTTATGTTCCCCTCTGGCTATTGCATTGTGTTTTTACCTTTACCAGGTATACAAACAATCTAAGAGACGCAAAGGATGTGGGCATAAAAAAGGCCATAGCTTCTAAACTGTCTCTTGGTGCTGTGTACTTCTTCATGAATGGAACCTACGGACTTGCCTTCTGGTATGGAACTTCTCTGATCCTTAGTGGAGAACCTGGTTACACCATCGGGACTGTTCTTGCTGTAAGTCTTGTTTGAGAAGAAAGGTAACTGGCCCAGATAACCTTTTCTTACCCAGAGTTTAGTCAAAACTCCTCTGGGAATGAATATGTGTATTCATAGATAAATAGTTTCAAAAAACATACCTTTGTTTCTCTGAAATGATTTATAACTATGAATTGATGGAATTTACTCCTCTCACATGCTTTAGCGTCTTTGTTTGCCAAGCAGTGTGCTTTTAAGAGAATCATGATTGCATGCCCTACAGGTAGACACAGAGCTTTCTTAATCCATCAGTCAAAATTCCCACTCTCTAGAAAGACTTTCGCTCCCATCTGTGCCCAGATAAAGTGGAACTCTACAGTTCTTGCTAAACAGCTTCCCTCTGAAATAATCTGTAGATTTGACTCGCCTGTTCTTCCTCCAACCTTCCAGCATAATATTAGAAACAGATTCCATACAGCTCTACCCAATATTCCAATTATTATATCATAATTTATTCAGTGCTACCCTTCTAAGTTTCCGCAATAAATAGATCAGTTCAGGATGAAGAAATGTTTCTCACTGTGAACCAAATTGATCTGCTGTAAAAACTTCAAGTAGTGTTTGGCTTTCCCATTATAAATGACTTTTCTTCTTTCAACTAAATTCATTTCTTTAAAAAAATATGTATTTAGTTGAAAGGTAAAGTGACAGAGAGAGGGAGAGACAGGGATAGAGGGGTCTTCTATCTGTTCATTCACTCCCCAAATGACCACAACAGCCAGAACTGGGCCAGGCCAAAGCCAGGAGACAGGAACTCAATCAAGGTCTCCCATGATGAGTGGCAGAGACCCAAGTACTTGAGGCATCATCTGCTGCTTGCCCAGGCACATTATCAGGAAGCTGGATTAGAAGCAGAGAAGCCAGGACCAGAACAGCACTCCAATGTGGGATGCCAGTGTGGCAAGTAGTGGCTTAACCTGCTGCACCACAATATCAGCCCCTAAATTCATCTCTTGAATTCAAAATGTTCATAGGTAAGCCTTGAAACTATTCATTTAGCTGATATAAAGTGAAAGCTAAGCATGAAGAATTTGGGGCTAATCCTTGCTCCTTGATTTATGTGTGTCTATGGGCCAATGATTTGTTAAGTCTTAGTGTCTTTATCTACATGCCTGGAGTAATAGCACCCAGCCAGCTTGTGGAGTTCTTTCCTTGTTTGACTTTTTTACGGAGATGGGTCTGTCTGAAAATGGGCAGCTTCCCGGTAGTACGAGGATTCAAAAAAAGTATGGGCACAAATAATGCAACAGTTCTGTGTGAGTGACATCCGTCACACTCTTCTCATTGAATCTCAGGGAGCTGACCAGCAGGGAGGGGAGTGCAACGCTTCTCCCCAGCAACAGGTGCATGCGTGACCACCAGATTTGCCTGCTGAGACTTCCTAACAGGCGACAACCACAAGACCACAGCCAATCAGCGGTTATTCCACAATAGGAAAAGACCAGGAAAACCTGGATTCATTAGGGTCCTTATTTTTGCCTCTTCCATTCTTCCTTACCTAATTACTCTAATGGCTCTCTATGAGCCTAAACCAAGTATAAATGAGGAATCTTCAAAAAGCTTATGAAAAATGCATATTATGAGAAAAACCAAAGCATGTATTCCAAACAATGTCTGCACCAAAATGAACTTATCCTTTCTGTTCCCTTTTGCATGAACTTTTTAAAGGACTCTCCTACTTCACTTTGCTGTCTCTCTCGTGTCACTGCAGAGGAGTAAATGTTCTCTCCTGCCCTACAGGTGTTCTTTAGTGTGATCCACAGCAGTTACTGCATAGGAGCAGCAGCCCCCCACTTTGAAACTTTCACTGTAGCCCGAGGAGCAGCCTTTACCATCTTCCAGCTTATTGATAAGGTAAGACCTCTCCTTGCTTCCAAGGACGCCCACAGTACTGCAGGAAGACCAACGAACAGCCACACTCATTTCACTACAACACCAGGATGGGCAAAATCCATGCTGGCCAATTGGCCATTGCAAGAGAGATTGTTTTTAACTCTTTTCTATGGGGAGTCATTTGTGGGGGGGTAGTTTTCATTGAAACCTTCATGGCTAACCCATTGCACTTCTAATGCAGAAAGGAAAACGTGGTAAAAAGAAAAAAAAAATCCTTACTCTGCTTTTAGGATCGGAGAGTGTTGGCTTAGTCTTTTGAAGATTTATAACATTCTTTTTGTGTTTCAAGAAACCCAGTATAGATAACTTTTCAACAACTGGATATAAACCTGAGTGTATAGAAGGCACTGTGGAATTTAAAAATGTCTCTTTCAATTATCCATCAAGACCATCTGTCAAGGTAGGTTAAAACTCTCGGTTTTCTGATATTGTCTTCCACTAGCTAAACTTTTCTCTTATAAATTATTTAATATTATCTTGACCAAGATTTTGACTACTGTGTGTAGAGATTTTGATAGTTTGATAATGGCTATATAATTCTGGAACACCTGGTTATATTCAGCAGCCTCTTTCCTCTAGTTGAGGGACCAAAGCATGTTCAACCCCCAGGAATTCCTCCACTCTGGATTTTGGGAGCACACCAAGATATCTTGGAATACTGATGCCACCTATTGGTATCCTCTGGATGTTACTCCACTCAGCAAAGACCTTGTTGACTTTGTGGTTTCTTACTGGGAATATCAGGCACATGTGACTGTCCCTTTCCTGGGACTTTTACTGCACCAGCATTTGTGCCACATGTACACACACACATGCACACACACACAGGACACCCATCCATGCACAAAACACACACACCTATGTACACATACCAAATACATACAAACACACATGCACACCTGTACACATACAACGAAACTCACGCAAGCACCATACACATGCACACACACACACACACACACACAGTTCCTCTCCTCCCCCTGTCATTCAGCCTTTTCATGTTCTTCTGAAAAGCTGTCTCGTGGAAAGGTATATTTTGTATTCTTCCTTCCATTTTACTCATGTGTTGACCAAAAAAGAGTATTGTTAACAACTGCAAAGGGGGATAACTAATCAAAACACCTGTCTCACACAAAACAAGGAGAACATGATTTTAAGTGTAATCAATAAGATTACTAGTATCATCAGTCTGCAATGTACCTATGTGCCTATGTCCCTATTTTAAACTGGTGATTGAAATTTTCTTTTCAAATCTCTTTTAAAATATGTTGTTATTGCTTAGCATTATTGGAATAATAGTGCCTTATACCAAAATTTTGTTCACGTAGAACATGTCAAGCTTCACTCACACATACATGTAGCTGGCATTTGGAGTGACAACTCTATATACCCAGGGGACACTGTATATTAAAATGTCCCCTGGGACCTAAAAAAAATGACTTCTGAGTGAACTTCTGAAACCTCACCCTTGGCGGGAAGCATTTTTTAAAGGTCCTCCCAATTTAAATAAATAAAAACACCGACACCCCCCCCCCCCCAGGAATGAACAGAAACTAACTTTGGAGCCAAAGTGCTGCTGGGAGGTGAGGTGATCCTGGATTTATCACCTTCTTTAGGGAATCTTCCCTGCTTGGCCCTTTGAAGCCTTTGTGTATGGTTAGCTGAAGGGTCAATTCCTTTACAAACGGTAAGATCAAAGTAAGAGAATGCAAAAGCAGGCTCCTTTGTTTGGGGTGAAAACACAGATGCAAGCCCACAGAGGTGAGAGGCTCTCAACAGGATGGCTTATTGTCACTTGCGGGAGGGTAATTACCCGGAGGCTCCTCGCACCGGGCAGGTGCCTGGGACTTTAGCTGTGAGCATCTCTCAGTCACCGAGAAACGACCCCCTAGGTTGAAAGTCCCTGGGACAGTCGCCATGGGAGAATGAAGAACTCAGGGTGAAGTCTCACCCATGGGAGTGGCTAAGAAGCTTGGCCAGTTGCTTTACTTAGGAATAGATTTTGTAACAAAGTCAAGTATATTCCAAGGAGTAGCTCACAAAGATTCCAGCAAGATTTCATTCAATTGTTGCAAACTGGAAGATAAAACTCACTTGGTAGCCATGAGATTCTTGTAAGGTATGTTAGTTGAAAACGTGAATAGTTTATCATAACTGGTTAATAGTCCATGAGTACTCCTAACTTTATCCCATCTCATACGGAGACAGGATTTTACTATATTTTCCAAAATTATGTGCGTTTTTATTATGCACATGCGTGAAATAAACATAACAAGATCTAAACTCATCTTTGGGGTCCCTGGAATGATGTGTTTTCTGGAGATCGTGGCTGATTATTCCTTCACATCAGAGTTTGTCCTAGCTGTATCTTTTTCCCCTCCTGCATTCTAACAGGTTCTGAGAGGTCTGAATCTCAAAATTCGGTCTGGAGAGACGGTCGCCTTGGTTGGCCCCAGCGGCAGTGGGAAGAGCACAGCAGTCCAGCTTCTGCAGAGGCTGTACGATCCCACTGAGGGCTCCGTAAGTGCAGCTGGCAGAAGCAGGTGTGGGGCGGTCCACAGCAGGGGGCGGTGTGGAGTTGCCACCTGCCCCAGAGAACTCTTCACAGCGCAGCCATGAAGAGAGGAGCCACATTGTCTGCTGGGGGTTCACTGCTTCTACAGATATTTATTTGGTGCCTACTTTGTGTCAGGCACTGTTCTGGGTTCTGGAAGCACATCAGTCAACCCTCGTGACATCTAATACATAGAGCTAGACAATCAGCAAGACAAATGAATCATATAGCGTGTTAGAGGGGCACGGATGCTCTGGGTGCGAATTGCAGCACCCAGCATTGATGGAGGCTCACAGTTTGTCCAAATAGCCCAGAAAAGTGAGCTGTGCAGAAAGGTCCCTCCCTGCGTTTTTTCCTACTGTCTGTGCATTCGCACGTAACCTTTCTCAACTCTATCACTGGCGTGGAGTGTGAGCCTATGATATCCACAAGGGCATAATTCTTAATACTTCTGTTCAAACTTTCAGCCGTTATTTTCAAAAAGGAAATCTACTCTGTCAGACCTGTTGTTGTTGTTATTTTTAATTTCACTTCTTAGTCCTTGTTTGAAGTATCCTGGGTGCACAAGTCTCTGCTAACATTGGCTGAATACTACACTATGGGATGAGGGCTCTCTATGTAAAGCACTTAACTTCAGGGCCTGTGTCCAGCCAGAGTATCAGAGAGACAAAGAGACTCGGGCGCCATAATTCCCACCCTGGCCCTGCCCACGGGGTTGTGCTAGGATTTTGGGTAAGGGCATCATCTATAAAGAAGTCAGGCTCAGTTACTTACAGTGGCGATGAGCAGAAGACGCTTCTGTGTTTCATCAGGGTGTGCCGTGCAGGAGAGCAGGCAGGCTATGTCCTGAAAGAATGTAAAGGTGGTATCAGGCTTCGAATAACAAAACTGAAGCTCGCCACGTGTGTCTCCCTAATATCTGTGACAGCTCTATTGGTGGACCTTAGGCTAAAGATATCCAACTAGGGGGGTTGATAGGGTTATGGGTTCCCATCTACCAGAAAAAGCCCATTGCTACCCGGATGTTACGACTATTTTTTTTCCCAGCACCCAGGCACACGCGCTACTTGCTGAGTGTATGTGCAAGACGCTGGAGCTGTTGGATGGTGTCAGCGCGCTGCTGCTCTTTTTTGCGTTGATTGGCAGGTCACAGTGGACGAGCGGGACCTGCGCGCCATGAACGTGCGGTGCTACCGCGAGCACGTCGGGGTGGTCAGCCAAGAGCCTGTCCTGTTCGGGGCCACCATCAGCGCCAACATCAAGTATGGACGAGACGACGTGACCGACGCGGAGATGGAGACGGCCGCGAAGGCAGCCCACGCTTACGATTTCATAATGGAGCTTCCTCACGTGAGTACACCACGTGGGCCGCGTCCCGGGCTCCGTGCTGCAGCCAGGGGCCCACGGGCGACACTACGAGAATGCATCGCCCCAGCACAGAACAGGGGCAGCGGGGCCAACGATCCTGCGTGTCCCAGACCACACGTCTGCAGAGGAGGCTGGCACGCGTGGGAACAAAGCAAAGGAGGGAATGCGTCGTAGAAAGGCCTATTGAAAGGGAGTTGTGTTTGGTTCTCCCTGGTTCTCCTTGCAAACGCGAGACAAGAAAGGATATATCAAACCCCAGACAAAATCACCAGCTCCAGCGGCTGCTAAATGTGGGTTTGCGAGGCCATCTGGTGGCTGCGAGTGGGAATGTCAAGCTGACAGCAGGACATTTTGGGAACTCCTGTTGGATAGGAAATGTGAAATCATACTTGGAATGGGAGCGATACACTGAACCCCGGGGGACTACCAGCGCTCAGTGAGCGATTAGGTTGGAGAGGCAGCCGTAAAACCATCCACGTCCGTTTTCTGAAACTCTAGTTCCCCAGTATCACCTGACAGTGATGGAAAAAGAATGAGATTTGAAACTGAAACACGAGTAAGGTTTCCTCATCCCGGGAGGCCACGGTGACAGAAACGTGCATTTTAACGGGCAGAGTTTACAAAGCAAAATAATTTTTTTTCTTTTTTTTAAGCAAATACTTTTATTATACCAGTAACTACTTGCTATCTCATGGTTTAGGGTCATACTTACGCAGTTATTTAGGCAAGCAAAACCATTAAGGGCAGGAGGTGATTCTTTGCTGTGTTAGTCAGGAAAACAAACACCCACTTCCTTTTTGCTGACCTTTTGCCCCTGTCAACTACTTCCTTTCCTCAAAATGTCCCATCCTGCTCAGTTTCCCATTTGGAATTAGGGAGCGCTCCGGTGCCTTTAAAACACCTGTACGCGCCTACTTGCTCTGACTAAAAGGCCAACGCTACTCAGAGGTGCACCTTGCTATAAATCCCGCAGTAAAGCCTAAAGAGACAGTCCAAAGAACAAACTAAAGATAGCAAATTCCACAGTCATGATTAGCCAGAGAAACAGGAGGAAGCATCAAAACAAATAGGCTTTCTAGAAGTGGTTAGTTCAGGTCAGTGGAAAATTAGAGAAAGCTGTGCTCAACATTGAATTCATTACTTCTTCTATTAATGAGTACCTGTTTTTAAATGAACAGCTTAGGGCTGGGTGAGGCTGGCTAGCCTTCTGCCCATAAACAAGAACAACAACTGATAAAACATCTGAGGCGCAGGACGGGTGTTTCCAAGCCTCAGTCCAGACAGAGGCAGTGAGAGACCGTGATTCCCGCAAGGAAGGAAACCACACACTTGCAGCACCGTGCGTGCGAACACAGCCTAACCTCTGGGAGCTGCAATCAAGAGGAGCATGACAGGCCTCCGAGGGAAAAGCAGAAACCAAAGCTCAGGCCGCTGGAGCAACGGGGGAGGCAACCTAAGGGCTGTGGGGTTGAGCTGAGGGCTGGAATCCCATGTGGGTGTCCCTTGGGAATTCTGTCTGAGGCTAAGCCCACCGTGATTTGCCGGAGAGCAGCAGCTCCAAGGCTGAGAGGGAAACAGAGATGCTGGCGATGACACAGCACTGGGTGGGGGATTGGGGGGAGGGGGGGTTGACAAGTGCAGCCCAGCCCAAATGGCCAGATCACATTCACACCTTTTTAACACCCCAGGCATGTAGCTAAGACACCAAAAATGCCACTCCTTAGGAATAAGGACCACACCTTAAAGTCAGATCAACTCTAGACCTGCCCTAACCTAGCCTAAAGCCAAGCTCTGACAGATTCCCCAGAGGAGGCACAATTTGGGGGTTGGGGTCCTGCCAAGCTACAAGGCTTTCTCCACAGCTTCACCCCAACAAAGCACACAACTGAGAATGCCCAAGTTCATCATGAACAACCAGTGTCGGAACTGCCTACTCCCACCAAAACCGGCCTGTTTTTCAAAAGAAATCAGAATTCAAAGTCACTCCAACATAAACAGGTTAACATGCAAAGAAGCAGAGAAGTATGGCCTTAGGCAGGAAACACAATTCTAAATGTGTGCTCACTTAAGAAAAGAGCTTGAAGATGCATGAGGTGAAAACTTACATCTGGGGCCAGTGCTGTGGCATAGCCGGTTAAGCCACCGCCTGCAGTGTTGGCATCCCATATGGGCACTAGTTAGAGTTCCGGATGCTCCACTTCCATTACAGCTCCCTGCTAATGTGCCTGGGAAAGCAGCGGAAGATGGCTCAAGTGCTTGGAACCCTGCACCCATGTGAGAGACCCAGAAGAAGCTCCTGGCTCCTTCAGACTGGCCCAGCTCCAGCTGTCGCGATTTGAGAAGTGAACCAGCGGATGGAAGCTCACTCACTCGCTCGCTCACTCTCTCTCTCTCTTTCTCTCTCTGCCTCGCCCTCTCTGTAACGCCATCTTTCAAATAAAATAAGTCAATCTTTAAAAAAAAAAAAAAATGATACATCTGAAAGGAGACAAACCCACAGGTGTAGCTGATAGAACAAGCAGGCACACTATCAACAAGCAAATGGGTAGGCCAGCCAACAGTATCAAGCCACAAGATTTAATTGGTGAGTAGAGAATATTCCACTCAATGACAGCAGAATTTACTGTTCTGAAATGCCCATGGAGAATTAGCTGAAATAAACACTATCTGGGCCATTACAAACACAAACAAAACAATACCTTAGCAATGTCAAAGAAGAGAAAACATATATATTCTCAGACCATAAATACAACTAAACTAGAAACCAAGAACAGAGGCATACTTGAAACATACATAAATCTGCCGGCGATGTGGCTCAATAGGCTAATCCTTCGCCTGCGGTGCCGGCACACCGGGTTCTAGTCCCGGTCAGGGCGCCGGATTCTGTCCCGGTTGCCCCTCTTCCAGGCCAGCTCTCTGCTATGGCCAGGGAGTGCAGTGGAGGATGGCCCAAGTCCTTGAGTCCTGCACCAGCATGGAAGACCAGGAGAAGCACCTGTCTCCTGCCTTCGGATCAGCGCGGTGCCCCGGCCGCAGCACGCCGGCCCCAGCGGCCATTGGGGGGTGAACCAACAGCAAAAAGAAGACCTTTCTCTCTCTGTCTCTCTCTCTCTCTCACTATCCACTCTGCCTGAAAAAAAAAAAAAAAAAGAAACATACATAAATATTTGAAAACCAGATAGTACATATTTATGACTCCAAGAAGTCTCAAGAATCATTATTTTGAACTCAGTAAAAGTGAAAATGCAATATTATCAATACTTGTGGAACACACTTAAAGCACTGCCTCGAGAGACACTTACAATGTGAAATACTTACCTTTAGAAAAGAAAAAGTTAAATCATCTTCAAACCAAGATTTTTTTCTTGAGAAACGAGAGAGAGAAAAACAAATTAAACCCAAAGCAAGCAGGAGGAAGGAAATTAGATCAGAGCAGAAGCTGATGAAATAGAAAATTGGGAAACATCAGAGATAATCATGGAAATCAAACACTGGCGGGGCCGGCGCTGTGGCACAGAGGGTTAAAGTCCTGGCCTGAAGCACCGGCATCCCATATGAGCACCGGTTCTAGTCCCAGCTCCTCCTCTTCTGATCCAGCTCTCTGCTATGGCCAGAGAAGGCAGTGGGGGATGGCCCAAGTCCTTGGGCCCCTGCACCCATGTGGGAAACCTGGAGGAAGCTCCTGGCTCCTGCCTTGGGATTGGTGCAGCTCCAGCCGTTGCGGCCATCTGGGGAGTAAACCAGCGGATGGAAGACCTCTCTCTGTCTCTGCCTTTCTCTGTAACTCTGTCTTTTTAAAAAAAAAAAAAAATCAAACACTGTCTCCTTGAAAATATCAATAAAATCAGTAAAACTAGCAAAGATTACAACGAAAATGAAAGACAAAATAACTAATATCAGGAATGAAAAAAAGTGTATCACTAGCAATCCCAAAGAGAGTAAACAATCAACAAGGGAATAGTGTGTGAACATTGCTATGCCTATGCATTTGACAGTGTAGATGAGGATCACTTCCCTCACAGATACAAACCACCAAAACCTCAAGAAAAAAATAGATAACTTTAAAGAAGTTTTATATATGTATTTTATTTATTTGAAAGGCAGAGAGCCACAATGAGATCTCCCTTCCGCTAGTTCAGTCCACAAGTGTTCACAACACCTGGGCTGCACCAGATGAAAACCAAGAGCCAGCAGCTCAGTGTGGGTCTCCCATATCACCTGCTGCCTCCCAAGGTGTGCATTACCAAGAAGCTGGAATCAGGAACGGAGCTGAGACTCTAACCCCAGCACTCCGATACGGGATGCAGGTGTCCCAACGGCATCTTAACAATGGTCAAAATACCCACCCACAAAATGGATAATTTTAATGGACCTACAACTACTAAAAATCAACTGGACCTTTATATAGTAGCAAGAGTTATAAAACAAAGCTGCAATTGGGGCCGGTGCTGTGGCGCAGTGGGTTAACGCCCTGGCCTGAAGCGCCGGCATTCCATATGGGCGTTGGTTCAATTCCTGGCTGCTCCTCCTCTGATCCAGCTCTCTGCTATGGACTGGGAAAGCAGTAGGAGATGGCCCAACCACTGCACCCATGTGGGAGAGTCAGAAGAAGCTCCTGGCTTCGGATCGGCGCAGCTCCGGCCGTTGAAGCCATCTGGGGAGTAAGACAGTGGATGGAAGACCTCTCTTTGTCTCTACCTCTCTCTGTAACTCTGTCTTTCAAATAAATAAAATAAATATTTTTAAAAAATGAAGCTACAATAAAAATTGGAATTCACAATAGCATCAAAGGTCAAAATACTTAAGATTAAATTAATGAAAGGTATGCAACTCTTTCTGTGTAAAAACTATAAGACATTGTTGAAGAAATGAGTGATAATCTAAGGAAGCATAGGGTATTCTATTCATTGATTCAGAAACCAAAGACGACATTCTCTCCGAGTCAGCCTTTAAATCTGATGCTTTACCAGGCAAAATTTCACCAGTCTTTTTTTCTCCCCGCTAAGGGTAGAAGTTGAATTGGCAATATCAAAATGTATTTGGAAATTCAAAGGACTAAGGATAGCCTACACAATTTTGAAAGAAGCATAAAGCTGGAGGAGCTACAGTATCTAATTTTAAGGCAGCAATTAAGACAGTGGTGGTGCTGTGATGATGCATCTGTAGATCAGCACAGTGAACAGAGACCCCAGAAATACAGTCAAACACATCAAGTCAACAGGTTTTTGACATGGCCAATGGGATTCAAAGGGAGAAAGGGAGATCTTTTCCTCAAACGATGCTATAGGCATTGCTTATCCATGTTTGGGGTGGGTGTGGACGGTGGCAATGTGACCTTTCCATCATACCCCAGTCAAAAACCAATCTGCCATAGACCTAAGACCAACCTTCTCAAGATTGAACTTTGCAAATAAAAACTTCAAAGAAAATTGTGACCTTGAGATCAGCAGATTTTTTTTAGGCAGAAAAGCATGTATACCTTTAAAAGAACAGTAAACCGGACCTATTTCTTTGTGGATTTTTTTCTTAAAAATAAACAGGGAAGAAGTGGCTCCTTAGTACAGTCATTATTTCACATGGCATGGGTTTAAGTTTACTGTTGGCTGTGAACTCACTAACATTTAAAATATTCTTTTTAAAGGAAGGAGAGGGGGACAGAGGTTAGGAGGGAGGGATTAAGGGAGGAAGGGAGTATCATTATGTTCTTAAAATTGTATCTACAAATCACATTTAATTTGTTAAAAAGTAATTAAAAATTAAAGTAAAATTTTTAAAGAGAGATGAGAAGAAAACATTTTTTAAAAAAGAAAAATTATTATTTTTAAAATACATCATTTAGAAAATAAGACAAAGTGCAAGAAAATATTCTTAGTACGCACATTTGGCAAGAATCTAGAATATATGAATAGTTACAACCCAGTCACAAGACAAAAATAATGCACTGGCAATAACAATAATAGACTGACAAAAAGTGAAACAAACAGATTCAATGAACAAGATACACACAGGAAAATACTCAGCATCGTTTCTCACTAGGGAAATCCAAAGCAAAACCACAATGAGATACTGTTTCACACATGCATTTTATTGTGCATAAATCACTCATCAATGAGGCTGATTTTTTTAAAATGTAAAGTTTAAATCCTAGAAATGCAAGGTTTATAAAGATTATTTAAATTAATACCCTTGAAGAAATGAACTCTGAATCAGAAATACAGCCATGCTTCACTGTGGCTAAAAGATTTGTGACAATACAGACTTTTTGAAAGATGCATTTACAATTTAAAAATAATTTTTCATGCTATCTCTATTTTTTAAAGATCTATGTATTTATTTGAAAGGCAGAGTTACAGGGAGAGAGTGAGGGAGAGACAGAGAAAGAAATCTTCCATCCACTGGTTCACTCCAGAAATGGTCGCAACAGCTGGGACTGGGCCAGACAGAAACCAGGAGCCAGGAGCTTCTTTTTTGAGTCTGCCTCACGGGTGCAGGGGCCCAAGCACTTGGGCCATCTTCCTCTGCTTTCTCAGGCATATCAGCAGGGAGCTGGACTGGAAGTGGAGCAGCCAGGACTTGCCCATATAGGATGGCACCCATGTGGGATGCCAGTGCTGCAAAAGGCAGCTTTGCCCGCTATGCCACAGCAGTGTCCCCACAAAAAATACTTATTTAAAGAAGACCTAAAGTCTCCCAAGACTGAAACAAGTTTTGGACAGAAGTTGGCTTTTGAAGCAATTATTTTTCATACTATTTTTGAGAGTGTCCAGGAAGAAAACTCTGGGTAATATATCAAATAATACTTAAGTATATATTTGTATATTTTAAGGGATTCTTTTAAAGATCTCAAAGCATTCTAAGAATGTCTTAAAGGGATTTGAAAATAGTTCAAATGATTACTAACTTTCTAAAACTCCTCAGCGGGCATATTTTCTAATTTCTTTTAGTCCTAGCCAAATATTTTTTTTTTCTTTGACAGGCAGAGTTAGACAGTGAGAGAGAGAGAGAGAGACAGAGAGAAAGGTTTTCCTTTTCCGTTGGTTCACCCCCCAAATGGCCACCCGTGCACTGCGCTGATCCGAAGCCAGGAGCCAGGTGCTTCCTCCTGGTCTCCCATGCGGGTGCAGGGCCCAAGCACTTGGGCCATCCTCCACTGCCTTCCCGGGCCACAGCAGAGAGCTGGACTGGAAGAGGGGCAACCGGGACAGAATCCAGCGCCCCAACCGGGACTAGAAGCCGGGGTGCCGGCGCCGCAGGCAGAGGATTAGCCTAGTGAGCCACAGCGCCGGCCCCAAATATTTCTTACTTCCGCTCTTCATCAGTGTCTGTTTTCATAGTTATTTGTTTCCACAGAAAGCAAATTGAAGTGAGGAATGGAGGCTGGTGTTGTGGTGTAACAGGTCACCACTTACCATCCCATGTGAGTCCTGGCTGCTCCACTTTTCATCCAGCTCCCTGCTAATTCACCTGGGAAAGCAGTGGAAAATGGACCAAGTGCTTGGGCCCCTGCCACCCACAAGGGGGACCCAGATGGAGTTCCTGGCTCCTGGCTTGGTCCAGCCCAGCCCTGGCTGTTGCAGCCATTTGGGGAGTGAACCGCGGATGGAAGATTGATCTCTCTCTCTCTGTTTATCTCTATCTCTCTCTACCTCTATTTCTATCTCTCTCTCTCTCTCTGTAACTCTGCCTTTCAAATAAATCCATAAATCTTTCAAATTAAAATAAAATAGTCTTGACTAGCCCAGCTGAAGCAATGACTACGCTGGTATGACAAACGGCTGTGACTGTTGGTTGTTTCCAGGTCCACTCATCTGATCATGCTGTCTTCTGCTTCTGTGTTTCTTTCCTATTTCTCATCAGAAATTTAATACCTTGGTAGGGGAAAAAGGAGCTCAGCTGAGCGGAGGGCAGAAACAGAGAATCGCGATCGCCCGTGCTTTAGTTCGAAACCCCAAGATTCTGATCTTGGATGAGGCCACGTCTGCTCTGGATACAGAGAGTGAAGCCGTCGTTCAAGCTGCACTGGAGAAGGTAGGCAGACAAGAGCACTTCCAATGTGCATATTCCTGGTTCGCTGTTGTTAAATACAGGCAGCTTGGCTGTCCGGTGGCTCACGTGATGAGCTCAGAGCCCTCTTAAAGATGCAGGGTGCTCAGCCTTCTAAGAACTTAAATGATGGCCTGGAGGGGAGAAGAAGATGCTGTAGTTCTGGCTGAAAATGCATCTCTGAGGCTGCCGCGCCAGGAAGCATCCTGCTCAGCGCTCCCTCCCAACAGGTGCACCCCCTTCCTAGCACCCCATAGCAATCCCAGCACCACCGGCGCCACTGTAACCACATCAAGCCGAGGGCTCTTCCCTACTCACCCTTGTGATGCTCAGCTCTGCCCAGTTTTCTTCTTTTGGGCCACGGAGAAGCTCTACACTTGAGTCACCCTGTCCAGCACCCCGGGCCCTTCAACCCTCACACCAACCTCCTGTACATGCTTCCCAGTCCCAAGACCGCTAGGGCCCTGCACCAAATTACACTGCATCTGGAAGGCAGGTTGAAAAACCATTGAGTAGCTTTCTCCAAGGTCAAATCCTCTTTTAAATCACAACCTTCAGACCCCTCCGAAGGCGTCAGTGGTGCAGGGTACTTTGTGTTTGCTTGGAAATGCATGAAGCGCAGGCTTCTGGTTTTAAATACTGATGTTATGGGACTAGCAACAGATCCTGGCAGCCAGAATGTCCGCTGCTTATTTAAAAATCTATTACTTACTCGAACATCAGATGTGGTAAGGTTCTCTCCTTGTTTTGCCCCCATAATGAGAGTGGCATATGGTGCTTGCACGGTATGAAAATATGTGTCGATCTGGAAACTTTGCCAACTTCATTCATCTTGGTAGAGAAGAAACATGAGCAGAGTTAATGTTTTATTCATTTTTTAGTAGTTGGTAACTAGAACAGGGATCTTTATTTAGAATTCACTTTATTTAGAATTTACTTTATTTAGAATTTTTTTTTAAGATTTATTTATTTGAAAGGCAGAGTGTGTGTGTGTGTGTGTGAGAGAGAGAGAGAGAGAGAGAGAGATAGAGCGAGCATTTCCATCTGCTAGTTCAGTCCCCAAATGGCCGCAATGACCAGGGCTAAGCCAAGCCAAAGTCAGGATCCAAGAGCTGCTTCTGGGTCTCCTGCATAGGTGCAGGGGCCCAAGTACTTGAGTCATCTTCTGCTGCTGTCCCAGGCTCATTAGTAGGGAGCTGGATCAGAAGCAGAGCAATCAGGACACGAACCCACGCCATATGGGATGTGTCACAGGCGACAGTGTTAGCCACTACGCCACAACACTGGCCCCAATATTTTTTATAATGGTGACACGTAATTACTTAAGGCTTGAAGACACTAAAATTACCCTTAACAAACTTCAGTTAGATAGCTTTTTTTGTACTGTGTTGTAATGGGCTCTCAGGTGGTTTAGAGGTTAAATGTGCCTATTGTCTTTTCATCCAGTATGTTAATGACTTGGGGCAATCAAAATTAGTCCCAATTTTTAAAGTAAACAATTGCTTGTCGACGTGAAAAACTCCCGAAGATTTCTGTTTCCTACTGGTTAAAGTGAAATTTCTATTATAAGTAAGAAGAAAAGAATGCAGCAAAGAGTTTGTGAGCTGTGAGTCCAGGGACATCAACTAGGCGTTGCCAGTGAACAGAGGTGAAGACGGCCGTAGCTGAAAATACTGGCGTGCGCCACGTCACAACAGGGATGTGTTCTGAGAAGTGTGTCACTAGGCAAACACCACAGCATACATTCACACAAATCTACGGGGTGGAGCCTCCTGCACACCTAGGCAGTATGGTATAGCTTCCCGCTCCTACACTACAATCCTGGACAGCAGGTTACTGTCTTGGGTGGTCTAGGCTATTGTGACACAGTGGTAAGTCTTTGTGTATCTATAAATTTATCTGAACAGCAAAAATACAGCATGTAAACAAAAGAGGGCGCACCTGTGCAGGGCACTTACCATGCCGGAAGAGTTCAGAAGTGAATGGGAAGTGTGCGTGAGGGCCCGGGACAAGACTGCATGGGAGTAGAGGCTGTAAACTCTGGATGGTTAGGCTATATTGAAGTTCTCAAAAATATAAGAAATATTTCTAACTTCTTTACCCAATAAACTTTTTTTTTTTTACTTTTTGACCTTTTAGTAATAACACTAAGCTTAGAACACAAACACATTGTATAGTTGCACAAATATATTCTTTTGGGGTGGACATTGTGGCAGAGCAGGTTAAGCCACTGCTTGGGATCAGAGTATCTGGGATGGAGTCCGACCTCTGGCTTCCAGTCTAGCTTCCTGCTAATGTGCCTGGGAGGCAGAGGATGTCGGCCCCAGGGCTTGGATTTCTGCCACCCACGTGGGAAACCTGGACCGAGTTCCAGGCTCCTGGCTTCAGAGTGAACCAGCAGATGGAAAATCTGTCACTCTGTATTTCAAATAAATAAAATATTTTAAATTTTTCTTTCTTTATATCCTTATTCTACAAGCTCTTTTCTGATTTTTTTTTAACTTTTAATCTTTTTTATTCAAAACTAAGACACACACAGTAGGCTAGGCACCCACAGGGTCAGGATCATCGATGTTACTGTCTTCCACCTTTGCAGTGTGTCCACTGGGCGCTTGCAGGGGCTGTCATCTGCGGTGACCGAGCCTTCACTTGGATGCTCCCTGAAGGACCTTGTGCATGGCTGCAAACGGGGATGCTTCCGAGACCTGCAGTGCTCTTCTCTGAACTTCCTGATTTAGGATTTCTACAAGCTAGTTTCACATCACTAGTTTTCAGCAGGAGGTCTAGGGAGAGTGGGTAAGGCTGAGTGCTGTACGGTGGGAGCTTCCACTGGCTCTGGGGTTTAGCCCTGGGCGCCCATGCAGCGGGCTTGCGAGCTCTCCCAGGAGCGGGAGGCACCGCGGTGTGCACCTGCGGCCCGCTCTGGCTCTGTAATAGGACCTGGATTGGAGGTGTTCAAAGTGGGCCGCAAACCTCAGGAGGGATCTTTAGGAAGGCAGGTCCAGCCCCAGCACCTCCTTGGGGAACCTCTCCACAGCCGTATTCCTGGTCACCAGGAAAGGGGCCCCATCAGAGTTCTGTCGTGTGAAGATGCAGAGACACTTTGTGGCAGCCTCGGCAGGCAGGATTTTACAGTCTCTGTCCTCTCTCGCCATGGGGCACCTTGCAGGTAGGTATCTGAGACCCCATCCGTTATAGTCATTCTACTTAGAAAACTGAACAGGAAAATTCACACATGGCATTAAACGGCAGACTACTTTATTAAATTAACTGCCCGAGTCAGAGCAAGGCTAATTTTTACATGCACGCACATTTCGTTATGTCCGTATCATTTCAATGTCATACTCAGAATTGGGGATTTCAGGAAACCCCTCGAGCTGTTAGCAGCCACACTGTGACAGCTGGGAGCAGAAAGGGAATCCCTCCAAGGGGGTTCCCGGCTGCAATCAAAGCCAGCCGAGCAAAGGTTGCGAAGGCACAGACTTCTGGAGCCTGCAGGATCAAGCTGACGACTGGCTGCAAGGCTCGGGCTTAAATGCTAAGGCACCAGCTCCCTTTACGGTACTGCTTCTCTACCTTTGACAGATTAAGGCTCCTTGAGAATCTGGTTGAGAAAGAGAAAAAAAAATAAACCGCTAAACTCTTGAGGAAAACGTACGGTAATCTTGTATAAAAAGACTGACAGGTACTATTGAAGAGCTCCTGGACCCCAAAGCCATTATTTTAGACATTAGAGAGATAAGCAGCTGGTCTCACAAGGACCCTTCCTTATCGTCCTGCTACCCAGGTCGGCACACTGAGGCCCAAACAGGTGAAGGAACGGCAGGGCAACGGTGAAGCCAGAAGCCAAGCAAACACAGTCAGCCTTTGCCTCATTTGTGTCACCTCCATGCTGTGCTGTACCCGCTCAAAATAGCACATCTGGGAGGAGATGGAGGGGACGCTGAATCCGATCAAGCTTAAGAACCAGCCCCTTATTAAACCTGCTCCAGAAATTCCACTTTGCGGTGTACACCAAAAATCATGTAGAAATAAATTGAAATCATTATTGCTCAGTAGAACATTTCAAAGTCTTAGGAAATGCGGTAAAATATTTTTTCATGATATGGATAAATTTCTTGGTGATTTGGGTACATTTAAATTATCTCTCAGCCTTACTCTCTCCCACCACCAAAGAAAACACTTAGCGAATATATTGATTTTCCTAATTCTTACTGAATAAGACATCTCTTATGTATTACTTATTGGTCAGCATTCTGGGTTGGGTAATGAGTTAATTATCGTAGCATTCTTCTTCCCCAACATCTGCTCCATCATTTTTGTTGTGTTGTACATTTCTTTACAAATACACGAATGATTAGCTTGTTAATAAAGTGAGGGGGAGAAGGTATTAAATGATGATAAATAATTTTATGCTAACTCCAGTGGTTAACTTCTTTGTGAACTTACCCAGAATTGAGAATGAAGATATTTCAAGACACAAAGAGAAATGTCTCTAGGACACTATGTGATGTTGCTAATTAGATTGTACATGGCCTCGGTGAAGAGTTTAGACAGATTGTGAATGTATTTTCCTGTCCAAAGGGTCTTAACCTAAGCATATATTTGAGTGGATTCCTGCATGTTGAGAGGAGGGAGAGGAGGAGAAGGTGAGTCACGCATTGCTCATGGCTTCTAAGTGTTGATATTTGGCTTTTTGTCGCTTAATCTGACACAACACAGAGCTGGGCGAGACAGGAGGGCCAGCCTGACAGTAATCCCACACTGTGCAGCCGCGGAACCAGGGTTGACCCAAAAGAACACTGAGCCAATTGACTTTCAACATCTTAGGGAGGTAGTTAAGAAACCAAAACCCTGGATTCCCCCTTTGAACCAGCCTAGCAACCTCCTTACAGGAGATGGCCAGTGAGAGTCCAACAGCCTACAGGGGAGGAATCACTAAAAGAGCAGGAAGGACCAGACCTCAAATCTCCTGACAATGCAAA